GGAGGTCAGGGTTCAATTCCCGCTCAGGGCACAGGCCCGGGTTGCTGGCTCGATCCCCAGAGTGGGGCGTGCAGAAGGCAGCCAATCCGTGAGTCTCTCTCATCATGGATGTTTCTAGCTCTCCCTCTCCCTTCCTCTCTGAAATCAATTTTAAAAAATCTTTAAAAAATAATAACAAATAAAAAGCAAACCAAAAAAACCCAAAGCAGATGGGCAGTGGAGTAACCCGCTGTGCTGAGCAGGGCGATCCTGGAAATAGCAGGCCTGTCTCAGCCCCTGACTCACTGCTGTCCTGACAGTTTCCGTTGGGGAGTTCTGGCCCAGGAAAGGGGTTGGGGCTCCACGTGGTGGGGGGCCCTCAGGGGGCTCCCTGCTCACCAGTAAGAAAGACGTGCCCCCTTTTTGCGGCGGCGCAGGGACAGCGGCCCGTGCCGGCGGCCGGCCGGCGGCAGGTCTCCATCCTGCATCACCCACGGTTTCTCGGAAACCTCGCCGGTATCACCATCCTCTTGGCGTGCAGCCTCCTCGTGTTTCATTAAATGCAGGCGTGCCCTCCCCCAGGCCTCCCTTCCCGCCTGGCAGCGGGGCAGGTTCTCGCCCTGGAAGCGTCCTGCCGGCTCCCGGGTTTTCCGACGTCTGAGGGAACCACAGTCTTTCCCACACACCGAGGTGGGAGCTAAGAGGCGTCTTAAGGGCTGAGCTGCTCCACATCCCAAGAGGCTGTGCGGACGGTGGTCCCTGCGCTCACCCCTGCCGACCTCCGACCCCCGGCCTCCCCTGAGACGCCCCCCGGAGGCGCCCGGCCCTCTGAGCAGGCTTCGGGGTGCGTGCCAAGAAAACCGCGTGAGTTATGCACACACAGGAAGGTCTTATCTTAAATCCCTCGCTGGCAGCGGCTCCCAAGATACTGGAACTCCCGGGGGGTGATAGGGCAGGACTCCCAGCGGATCTTTGGGATCTAACCCGGAGGAGTACATTTCTCTGACCTTCAACTGGTGCCTCGGACCCGAGTCGGGGAAGAGGCCAGAGCGGACCGGGCTGGAGTCTCCAAAGGCCGCTGGGCGCGGGTGGCTGTGCTGCGCCCGTGTGTGAGCCCGTTGGTTCTGTGAACAAGAAATCAATGGTTAAGAGTTTTAAATATATGTTTATGGAACGCAGAGCGGAAGGGAGAGGGAGAGAGAGAGAAACATCCATGATGGGAGAGAATCCTGGATCATCGGCTGCCTCCTGCACGCCCCCTACTGGGCATGAGCCTGCAACCCAGGCCTGTGCCCTGACCAGGAATCGAACCGTGACCTCCTAGTTCATAGGTCGACGCTCACCCATGAGCCACGCAGGCCGGGCTCACATGGCTTTTGAAGGACAGAGACAGAGCACACGCGCACAGGCAGCCTGAGCCCTTGGCCTGCAGCTCACTCCCGCCCCAGCTGACCTCGGGCGGGGGGGGGGGGGTCCATTTCTCCCCGAGTCAGTTTCCTGCCTATAAAGGTGGAGATAAGCCTTATGTTCTGCTAACTCACAGGACGATGAAAAGAATTAAAATGAAATAATGTCCAAGAAAATGAATTAGCCCACAAAATGTGTTGTAACGCTGACCGGCGGCTGCCGCTGGGGTGCTAGGAAGTGAGCACATGCATTTGGTTTAGTTGGTGGCTCTGGCCTGACCACAATGCGAGCGCCCGTCAGTTGGGTGTTCAGTGCATCTAATAGGCACCGTTAGATGCCAAAGAGATTTTGAAAAAGAAGAAAGAATGAATGTGAAACCCTCAGTGGTAGCAAGTGCTGGGCAGATATAAGGACTTGCATGACTGTTATTGTCCTTTACTCCACATATGGAAACGTCACTTCAGCTGCATGGTACCCTCTGCCCTAGACAGAGGGGCTTCCGAGGGGAGACGAGTTACAGAAAAGCCAACAGCCCCCGTCCGGGTGTGAGCTCGCGTCCCAGCTTCCTTTCTTCTGTCTGTGCCGCGCTCTCTCTCCCCGGGTGCCAGGCTCTTCCCGCCTTGGCTAAATTCACCTGGTTTATGATTAACGACGAGACTGTTGGAAAAGCTCAAAACCGCCCGGCCAGTGTGGCTCAGGCGGGGGCGATCCCGGTGTGGGGCGTGCAGGAGGCAGCCAATCCGTGATTCCCTCTCATCGTTGATGCTTCTGTCTCTCTCTCCCTCTCTGAAATCAGTAAAAACATATTTTAAAAGGAAAGAAAAGCTCAAAACCTCTGTCACAGGGACATCTATTGAGAAAGAAGCATCTCCTGCAGACGCCTACTTTTAATGACTCCGCCCAGTACCCCTCTGAAGGAAAAGGGGGGGGGGGAGTCGTACTGTCTCCCCCTTTTGGGATGAGGAAGCGAAGCTGGTGAGATGAAGTGCGTTCCCTCGGTCACAGCGGAGGAAACAGGACCCAGGCCCTTCGAGCTGCAGGCCGGCTCCAGCCCTCCTGCCCCGGGTCACACTTGCCCATCGTGAGCAGAGTGGGCCTGGCTGACCTTGGGTGTCGACACACGAGGAGCCAGAAGCCATTCCTGCAGGTCGTGGTGACCGACACGGTGGGTTCCCCAACCTGCAGAGTGGCCTTTGGACACTTCCCATTGGTTTTTAGAGAGAGGGGACGGGAGGGGGAGAGACACAGAGAGAGACACAGCGATGTGAAGAGACGCATTGATCGCTTGCCTCCCACACGCACCCCGACCAGGGCCCGGGATCGAGCCTGCCACCACGGTGCGTGCCCTTGACCAGAGTCAAACCCGGGACCTTCCAGTCCGCAGGCCGAAACGCTAACCACTGAGCAAGTGGTCTTCCCAGGTAAGAGCAGGTGGAGCATTCGGTTGGAAAGCACTTCCTTTCAGCGTCTTTCCACAATCCCGGCCCCACGTCTGTGCACCGCCTGCCCTCGCCCGTCGCGTTCGCAGGGGTTAGGGTGACACCTGCCTGGAGGCGTGTGCTCTGTCGGAAACCTCGCCTCGGGGCTCCGAGCAGAGGGGAGACCACAGGCCACGGGTTGACGTGCTCCTGGAAGCCAAGTGTGAAGTAAAGTGGGTGCTGGGGGAGCGCTCGTCTGACAAGCATCAGGTATGAGTGCGTCCCTCAGGGCTCGTCCACAGATGTGCAGTCCCAGGCCCCATGCTAAGGGAGCGAGGCCGCCCGCAGGCCCAGCGAGCAGCTCAAGGGACGCCCGTCCCTCAAAGGGCGACAAGCTAGTGGGGGAAGTAGACTCAGACGCCGTGAACTACCATTAAGGCCAGACGGGCTCGGGGTTCGCAGAGAGGGCCGGTGGGCGCGGCGGGAACTCGCGAATGTGGTTGGGAACAGAGGAGAAACTTTGAGGACGAAGGACAGGCGGGCGTGGGTATTGAAAGATGAGTCCATTCCAGCCGCTTCCTCCCCGAGGCAGTGCTGCGGGAGGGAGGAAACGGGGCGTCAGGGACCTCCAGGGCTCCTGGAACTCGGGGTCCCCCCTGCCCAGCTGGATCAGCTCACCACCTGCCTTCCACCCCTCCAGCCGCACCTCCCACCCACTCCGCTCGCTCGGAGCGGAGCGGGGCCTCCAGCAGGTAGCACCACCTTCTCCCGCAGTGAGTGCACCGCCCTCCAATCCCGGCGAAGGGCATCGAGTTGCACGGCCGCCCCGGGAGCCCGGGAGCATATAAGGCCGCAGGCCTGTCCTGCAGCAGCTGGACACCTCCCGACATGGGCTGCCCGGCCCCGCTCCTGGGGCTGCTGCTCCTGCCTGGAGTTTTTCTACTCGGAACAGGTACAGCCGTGGATGCCCAAGCCCCTTGCTCCTGCCTGTCCCCGGGAGGACAGGGCAAGTGTGGGTGCCCCCCAGAGCCCCCCAACCCCCTATGGGGAAGCTAGAATGAAATCCAGACCACGAGGGCCTTTCCTGTGTTGGATGCAATCCAGCCACAGAGGGAGACGTTGCTGTGCCAGTCACCGAGTGCTTAGCCGTGCTTGTGGGTTTGGGGGCGCTGCGTCAAGGGTGTTCTATGGGTTCTGTTCTGTGGGTGAGGCACTGGCCCATGCGCTGCTCTGTAAAAGGGGGGCTCTGTACTTAGGGTTCTGGAGAGAGATGGGAACAGAAGGAGCACTTGGTGTTGTTCCAACTTAAACTAAAACGACTCTAAGAGGTTGAGTGTGGTTGAGCGTGGACCCATGAATGTGCCTGGTTGCGGGTTCAATCCCCAGTGGGGGGGCATGGAGGAGGCAGCCAATCAGTGATTCTCTCTTGTCTGGATGCTTCTCTGTCCTCTCCCTCTCCCTTCCTCTCTCTGAAATCAATAAAATATCAATTTTTGAGCCCCTGTAGGGTCCTGGGTTCAATCCCAGTCAGGGCTCCAAAAAATCAATATTTTTTTTAAAAGAAGGAGGAGGCGCGCTGGCCGGGGTACCTCAGGGCTTCGACGTGCTCTCTGGCCCGCACGCTGACATGAGGCAGTGGAGGTACTGAATTACCGTCACGATTTCTTTCCTGTTGCTGAAGGCGTTGAAAAATGTACCACAAAAGAATACCTTCACCTGAAACAGTTGACGTGACATGAAATTATCTAGGTTTGATTCATGAAGTCTCCTAACCTGAGCATCTCTCTCCTTTTATTTCTAAAGAATTATCAGTTCGGTAATCTTAGCCCTAGTCTGTACTCTACATCTAGTCCTCTTAGGGACGTTTTAGTTTAAGCTGGAACGACACTAATTCAAGCTGCCCACGTAATTTCGATTACTTTTACCATTATTTTGTGACTTGAGGGGGAAATAGTGAAGTCCTCTGTGACTTAGCCTTCCTACTTACACGAACAAACAAAAGCTTGGGAACACTCTTGAACAACAAATAGCTTGGATGAGATTTTTATTCGCTGTAAAGACAAACCTAATCAACACCCACAGAACAACGTTTGATTGTGAAGTTCATACTCGAACTCTCCTTTTATTCTGCAGGTAAGTGAGTAGCTACTCAGACCTGTTTGCTAGGACACGCGAGAGTGTGCAGAAGGACCTAAGCCAGCGGTTCTCAACCTGTGGGCCGCGACCCCTTTGGGGGTCGAACGTCCCTTTCACAGGGGTCGCCTAAGACCACCGGAAAACACATATATAATTACATATTGTTTCTCTGATTAATCACTACGCTTTAATTATGTTCAATTTGTAACAGTGAAATTGGGGGTCACCACAACATGAGGAGCTGTATTAAAGGGTCGCGGCGTCAGGAAGGTGGAGAACCGCTGAAGCGGTCTCCTGCGTCCTTTGGGGCCGGGGCCTTGCTGGCGTTTACACGTCTGAGGATGAGTGAGCGCGTGAGTGTGACTTAGGGCCGAAGGTCTGCGTGGCTCCGGCCCCGAGTCCCCGTGTCCTGACCCGGTGAATACGGCCGGTTTCGCATCCCTCCGGCTGCTGCCTCGGCTCTCACAGACGAAGGGGAGGAACCACTGGGGAGATTTAATGAAATAATGTTCTAAATGACGTGGAAGCCTCCGCGAGAAGCCGCTAAGTCAGTGTGAACTGTCATTAGACGCTACAAGCTCTACACTGGGGATCTTAAACCCAGAAGGGAGGACAATGCGGATGCTCAGCGTCCGATTAAAGCGTTTCCCCGGTGTATCCATCCCCAAGAACCAGGAGTTTCCTCTTTCAACATTCCCGCCACAGGCTCAGGCAATAGATGCAACATCGGTTTTTTGGTTTGTTTGTTTCTTTAATATGTTTTATTGATTTTTTTACAGAGAGGAATTGAGAGGGGTAGAGAGTCAGAAACATCAATGAGAGAGAAACATCGATCAGCTGCCTCCTGCACAACCCCTACTGGGATGTGCCCACAACCAAGGTACATGCCCTTGACCGGAATCGAACCCGGGACCCTTCAGTCTGCAGGCCGACACTCTAGCCACTGAGCACACCAGTCAGGGCGACGCAGCTTTGTTACATGCCAGCGGGAAGGGGTGCTTTTCTCCAGCTGACCGGCACCGAGCAGGCGGGCGCTCGGGGAGGGAGGGGGGCTGTGCCAAGCGTATGTGGAAAATGCATGGGGCTTTCTCGCCCTGCTGGTGTGGTTCAGTGGATAGAGCATCAGCCTGTGGGCTGAAGGTCCCGGGTTCGATCCCAGTCAGGGCACAGGCCCGGGTTGTGGGCTCCATCCCCAGTAGGGGGCATGCAGGAGGCAGCTGATTGATGATTCTCTCTTATCATTGATGTTTCTGTCTCTCTCTCCCTCTCCCTCTCTGAAATCAATCAAAAAATATGTTTTTAAAGGGATTTAGAATAGACGTGTGTGTGTGTGTGTGTGTGTGTGTGTGTGTGTGTGTGTGCGAGTCGGGGGATGGAGACAACCCCCAGTTTGGGACAGTGAGTTTAAAGATTGCTGGGAACTGGGAAAAAGCTCCCTGAAATCCAACGATTCTCTTAAGACAACACCTTGGTAACGACTCGATGATGGATGATGCGTTGGAAACAGCCCCAGCAGATCCCTGGGCAGGAAGGTCAGCGTCACCTCTTGTCCCGCCCCCTCCTCCCATCCCCCTAAGAAATGAAGTCCCCGTGTGAAACCGACCAAAACGGGGCGATCCGTTACCCCGAGCTGGGCCTTCGATAGGAGGGCGCAGCGCTCTCCTTGCTCTGCCCTGTCCTGACTCCCAGCCAACCCTGCGCACCGAGGGCACAGGGGGCGACACGGGCCGCTTCCCGCACCGCGGGCGCAGCAGCGGGCACTCAGAAATGGTCAGAGTGAGTGAGTGGAAAACAGCGCCGTGACTCTCCCCACTGCTGCCCGCTGCCCGCTCCTCCAGGATAAGCCAGGGTCTCGGGGTGTTTCCTGAGCTGCTGGCATCGAGGGGGTTGGAGAGGCACGGGGGCCTTGCAGGCGCCACAGGCGAGTAGCTGTTGTCTCGGGCGGCCTGGCCCTGCTCCAGCTGCGCCCGCCCCCGCCTCCCCCACCTGAGCTCGCGCCACCTCTGCCCCGAGTGTGCACTTCCCCCTGCAGCTTACAGACTGACCTTGAGCTCCCAGGAGCGTGGGATCAGCGATGCGATACGGCCCTGGAGGTGCTCCTGGGCTCTTCAGCGGTCGCACAAGCACCTCCAGACAGCGGGCCCTGAGAGCTTCCGGGAGCAGCCAGGCCTGTGCCTGGAGTGTGGTTGTCCCCTGCATAGAGTTTATCTGCTCAGCACGAGCCAAGGCAAACAGTTAAAATCTCTCTAAAACCGCAAGGCGATCGAGTTGCGATCTGCCCAGCTGGGTGCACACCTGCTCTGCCTCCAGGCCCGACACTGGCCACCCCCCTCCCCGCCTCCCTCTGGCCCACAGCCCCCCACCCCCAGGGCACTCAGCCCGGGCTCCCCCTGGCGCCACGGTCTCGGTCGGGGTGGGAGTCGGTGGTGTCAGATCTGGGCTAGGCCCCTGGCCGCCTGCTCGCATTTGCCCTGGTCAGGCATTCAGCAATGCCATGCTGTGCCCTGCTGTGCCGCTGGCAAGCTGACAGCTCCACGGGCCAACCTCCCCTCCCACCCCCACACATGCACATGCATACACACATACACACCACACACGCGCGCACACACACGTGCATGTACACTCACCCACACACATGCACGCGCACACACGCACCCCCACCCACACATATGCACAGCCACCCACACACATGCACACCCACACACATGCACCCCCACCCACACATATGCACAGCCACCCACACACATGCACACCCACACACATGCACCCCCACCCACACATATGCACAGCCACACACACACATGCACACCCACCCCCACATATGCAAACCCCCGCACACACACCCATACACATGCACACACACTCTTGCATACATATACTCACACACATGCACACACCCACATATGCACTATGCAATGCTCTCACATACATGTGCTCGTGCACGTGCATGCACATGCATACACAAATGAATTTCCACCAAACACGTGGCTGGTATTCAGCTCGCAGCGATGAAAGGTGCATGTGTGTGATGGGAAGAAGGAAATGGCTTCGTGGGTCCAGAGCAGTGAGCGGGTCACGGTTGAGCTTCACGTGGTTGCAGCCCGGGGACTCTCTCTGTGTGGCACTAACGTAACTAGTATGTTTTCAAAGTCCATTCAAACAGCTCAGACATTGGGTGCCAAGTGTGTGTGCGTGCATGTGTGTGGGTGTGTGTGTGCATGCACGTGTGCGTATGTGTGCGTGTGTGTGTGTGTGTGCGCGTGCATGTGTGTGGGTGTGTGTGTGCATGCACGTGTGCGTGTGTGCGTGTGTGTGTGTGTGTGTGTGCGCGCGCGTGCGGGGGGTGAGGTTGGCTTGTTTGCATTTATCTTTGGTTTCTCTTTTTCCCCCCTCGATGGCTTTGTGTCGTCGGGTGGGGGTTAGAGTTCTATCAACGCGTCTGTCTCCTAGCCGCGGGCTCCGCCTGTTCCGTGGCACGAGGAGTGTTTGCCTCCCGGTTGTCACGGAGTCTGCAGGGTGGAACACGCAGCACAGCGGAGTGGGACACGTGTGGCCAGACACGCTATCCTGCTCATCACGTATGTGTGTGATGGTTAATGAACAGTCCTCTGAACTAAGGCCGGAGAACCGATGTTCTTATTCCTGGAGTCACATTCTTTAGTGATGAAACTTATTTTGGTTGAAGCTTTTCTAGGACAGCACTGGCCCTTTTCTAAAGTGACCTTCTCTCCCCCCGTAGCCGCCGAGACCGAGCGCCTAAAGCTGGCACTGGGTGAGTTCGTGCTTCTGTCCCATCGGCCTGACGCTTCCCATTCTCTGCGCCCCTGGGCAGGCAGGAGGCCGGTGCCAGGGGAGGACGCGCAGCGGGCAGTGTCAGTCATTTGAAATCTGTAGCAGATGCATGTACGTGACACAGATAACAGCCGTGTTCGCCGAGGGCCCGGAGGACTGATGGCACCCGTGGGTCCCGAGAGGCAGGGGCCGGGAAAGGGCTCGGATGTGGACAGGCCATGGTCACCGGCTCTGGTCCCAGGTGGGCACCGCTGCCCTGACCGGCAGGTGGCGCTCCAGCCTGGGGTGAGGGCTGCTCTGTGTGCCATTCAGGGCCCCGAGGTGCAGCTGTCGCCTCTGGGGTCTCTTCAAAACGATCCCATGGGCAAGCATCTCCGAGCGTCCGAGATGTCCCGGGCGGCACTGTCCGGCCCGTGTTCCTCGGGTCCGTTTCCCACCTGTCCCCTTAGGCGGCGCTGACGCTCAGAAGCAGGTGGGGTGAACGTCACCCCTTTAATCACATGAAAACCTCTCCGTTTCTCTCGTGCCCACAGATGACGGGGACTCGGACGCCATCCTGTCAGGTAAGAGGGCGCTCACCCTGTGCTGACCCCCCGGAGGGTCTCACGGTCCCTCCAAATTCAGGAAAGAGGTCCTTCCCTGGTGACCCCCAGCCGCCCCGTGGCTGAGTTTGTGGGGAGCTCGTTCTCAGGCGGGGCCCCAAGATCCCCTCCGTCCTCAGAGAGGACGGCGCTGCCGGTGTCTGGAACGAGTCCTGAAAGCGCCGGGCGTGAGTGGGTCCGAGGCCGCCTGTCGGCGTCGCTCCGGCCGCTGCTCGCTCAGCGGTTACCGGCCGCGCTCCGTTCCGCGGAGGAGGCGGCGTTTGAGCGCGTGAGACACCGGCTCATTCTGCGTGTCCTGTGCCGAGGCCACCAGTTCCCACAAACCCAGTGCGTGAGCCACACCCAAGCGCTGCCTTCGGCTCTGGGGTCAGGGTCCAGGAGGAGTCTCGCCTGTGAAATCGCTGTCCGGGGTCCTGTCCCCCTGGAGGCCGCGGGGCAGCACCACGCCTGCCTCTCCCGGTCCTGGGGCCGCCCCCTCCTGGGCTCCGCTCCTTCTTCCGGCTGCAAAGCCAGCAGCGTCGTGTCTTCAAATTCCTCTCTGACGCTCCAACCTCCAGCTGCACTTTTAAGAATGCTTGTGGCCCGGCCGGCGGGGCTCAGGGGTGGAGCGTTGACTTAGGAACCAGTAGGTCAGGGTTTGATTCCCAGTCAGGGCACAGGCCCGGGTTACGGGTTCGCTTCCCAGTGGGGGGCGTGCAGGAGACAGCCGATCCATGGTTCTCTCTCATCATTGATGTTCCTCTCTCTCTCCACCTCCCTTCCGCTCTCTTTAAAATCATTAAAACATTTTTTAAAATACGAGGGAGAATCATGGATCGGCTGCCTCCTGCGCGCCCCCCACTGGGGAGCCAGCCGCAATCGGGCACGTGCTCTTGACCAGAATCAAACCTGGGACCCCTCAGTCCGCAGGCCGACACTCTATCCACTGAGCCACACTAGATAGAGCTTTTGGGGGAGAATTCTAATTATTTTTATTTTAAAATTTATCTTTATTGTTGGAAGTATTACAGCTGTCCCCCTTGTCCTGTCCACCCCGCTGCTGCCCCTCCCCAGCCCTCACCACACTGTTGTCTGTGTCCACGTGTCAGGCCTCTGTGCCGACAAGCTCTGTGGTTGGTCTCCCGCTCCCCGACCTCCTTTCCCTCTGAGGCGCGTCAGCCTGTGGGCGCCACGGAACCAAGTAAACGGATGAGCAGCACGGACGTGGCGCGTGCGACAGGCTGACGGGTGGGTCTGTGTTGCAGTGCTGCCTGCTGCCGGCTCCACTCTGCTCCCTCCTCTGACTGCGGCGCGTTCGGCATCGCCAGGTAGGAACCCCCCCCCCCGGACTCCCCCCTCCCGCCCCCTGTGACCGAGTTTAACTGCTCAGTTGCACCACCCATTGCTAGTGACTGCTGTTCCGCCTGAGGGCACACTGAGCAGAGGGGGACGGGCCCTGAGGTGCCTGGATTCACGCTGTCCAGCTTCCGTTTGTGTTTATCCCTAATTTTACTGTCAAAGACCATCATGCCCGCGGGTGGGGCTCAGAGGTTGAGCATCAACCTAGGAACCAGGAGGTCATGGTTTGATTCCAGGTCAGGGCACAGGCCTGGGTTGTGGGCTCCATCCCTAGTGCTGGGTGTGCAGGAAGCAGCCAATCCATGATTCTCTCTCATCATTGATGTTTCTCTCTGTCTCTCCCTCTCCCTTCCTCTCTCTCTAAAAATCAATGGAAAAATATCCTTGGGGGAGATTAACCCCCCAGAAAACTAGCTATTAAAAAAAGGGGGCGAGGCATTTGGGGAAAGCAGGATGGCGTTAGGAGCGTCCGCTCTGCCGCCTGGACTTGACCCCAGCCTCGTGAGAGGCGGGTCCTTCTCTGTGAGCTCGTGGCCAGGCAGGCGGCCCTTCAGCAGGTCCAGCTGAGTCCTCTGACGGTGTCTCATCTGTGTCTCGGGAAGGAGTTGTGACCCTGATCACCGCTTCCGTGTCGTTCTAGAGCCACCTGCCATGGACCCGCCTCCTTCGAGTCGTCAAGCCGATGATCCTTGGCCCAGCCCGCCAGGTCAGCCACCGGCTCACAGGACACGCCACTGTGCGCATGAGCCCCAGGGGAGGCAGTGACAGCCAGGGAGGGGGCGGGGCTGCACGGGCCAGAGCGAGAGGACCACGCCCCCAACACCCGGCTGAGCGCCCGAGCACCCCACTTTCCTGCCACTGCACAGACACATTGGAAAGTTCAGGCAGTGAGGAGACTAGGGGAGCAGACAGCCGTGCCCCCAGTGCCTCCGGGGCTGGTGCTCACAGTTTGTCACCCTGGGTTCCATCTTGTCAAGGAATAGCACATGACAGGCAGCTTTGAGCTCCCAGATGCCCATCCCCCTGATCTCTTCCTCTGCCTCGGAGACAAGCACCCCTGGAGGTGGTGTGTGTCGTTCCTGTTCATTCTTAAGACTTTTACAAATACGACTTGCGCGGCTCTATGAGTCATTGTGGCTTTCTCTCTCACCAATGATATCGGTGCCCGTCAGTCATCCACTCCTTGCATTCCCTACTCAATGTCACGTTTCTGAGGTGGATCCGTGTTGATGGCTATAAAGATTTATAGATAGATTTTACTGCTTTTAGCAGCTATGGTGTTGAATCTTTTTGAATAAACCCCATAATGGGCGCCTTTCCCCATGGATAGAAATACATTTCTGTGATGTTTCGTGTCTGCCCGGCTGGGGGCAGGTCCTGGCTCAGCAACGCATGTTCCACCTGATCCGCTCTGTGGCCTCGACCGCCAGGGGCACCTCACGCAGCGGTGGGAGTACTGAGCGCTCATACGTGGGGAGTGATCAAAACTTCCCCCAAATCTGGGAGCCGGGCAAACAGGGTGAGTGCAAAAGGCAAGTTTCCAAAATGTACCCTTATTGTTGTTTCCGCAGACAACCCGCCCAGGATGAGGCTCGCCAACGGCACCGGGAGGTGCTCCGGGCGCGTGGAGGTGTTCTACCAGGGCGCCTGGGGGTCGGTGTGCGGGGACGGCTGGGGCCTGCGGGAGGCCCAGGTGGTGTGCCGGCAGCTGGGGTGCGGCCGCGCGGTGTCTGCCCCGCTGGGCGCCCACTTCGGGCCGGGCTTCGGGAAGATTCTCCTGGACAACGTGCACTGCAGCGGTGAGGAGAGCCACCTGGCCCTGTGCGCCCACGACACCTGGTTCACGCACGGCTGTGGCCACGAGGACGACGCCGGGGCCGTCTGCTCGGGTGAGGGGTCGTGTGCTCTCTCCGGGGGGACCTGTGGGCGGAAGGGGCTCTGACAGGAAGTGGGAAGTGAGCCAGGGCCTCCTGTGGGGCTGATGGTTCCCTCTCCACACTCGCAGGTCCTCTAGCGGCAGATGCCTTCCCGCCAGGTGAGACCCATGGGCTGTTTCTAGGCCCCGTGCTACCTCTAGTTTTGCCCGGCTAATACTTTCTGTGGAAATGGAATGAAAACGACCCTGTCTAATCGAGCTTGGCGCAGTTTACAGGGGCTGGTTTGATTGGTCTATTTGACTTGGAGTCTAACCGGCTTTCCCAGTCTCTGCGTCTGCCCACCATCACAGAGAGGGCTCAGAGCTCAGATCTGTGGTGTTGACCTGGGCCTCCTGCTCTCAGGAAACCTGCTCACCCTGGCCTGACAGCCCCTCTGCGGGGCGGCTGCCTACGGAGAGGTCCCAGGCTCCGCTTAGGGTGTGGCCTGGAGGAGAGCGCAACACTGATGAGTAATATCAGCAAAGGAGGGTTTGGAAATCAGCTAGCAGGACACCATGCCCAGGTGCAGGAACCTCCCCAGATCAGAACTGGATTACCGGGCAAGACAGGACTCTTCTGGGGCCATTGAAGGACTGTAATTAATAGGCACTGGCTTTAAGATATAGTTTTCTGTGACCATGCCCGTCAATCACCACAAATCACTCATTTGAGAGAAAATTGCCATTTGTGTCCCAGAGTGATTAGATCAGAAAATCATCTGTCTTGAATCTGTGAGGCCTGATTTTTTTAACAGTGAAACAACACCAGTTGAAAAATTATAGTTATGCAATTTTAAAGTAACTTTGCCACTAAAAGAAACCATGGGGCTATTCCAATCCTTTCCTTTTTATCCTAAAGCAGTGGTTTTTGAACGTTACTTTTCATCAGAATTACCCTGCGGGTTTATTAAAAATGCACAATGCTGGGCCCCTCCCAGAGTTTCTAGTTCAGTAGGCCCAGAGTGGGGTGTAAGATTTGCATTTCCAACAAGTCCAGATGCTTATACTGTGGTAGGGAACCACACCTTGAAAAACCACTGTCTTAAAACAAAGAGGAACTTTTTTTTATAATCCTGATAAGCAGAAGCAGAATTACCATCATCTTCATCATCGCCATCTTTGCCATTGTCAGCATTGTCATCATCATCTTCATCACCACTGTCACCATCATCATCACCATTATCATCATCATCATTACCACTATCATCACCATCATCACCATTGTCATCATCACCACTGTCAACATCACCATCACCATTGTTATCATCATCATCAATATCACCATCATCACCACTATCATCATCAACATCACCAATATCATCATCATCATCACCACTGTCACCATCATCTCCACCACTGTCATCATCATCATTACCATCATCACCATCACCACCATCATCATCATCATCACTACTGTCATCATCTTCATCACCATTATCACCATCATCACCACTGTCATCATCATCATCACCATTGTCATCACCACTGTCATCATCACCATTGTCATCATCACCATTGTCAGCAGCAGCATCACCATTATCATCATCATCACTACTGTCATCATCATCTCCACCACTGTCATCCTCATCATCATCACCATTATCACCACTGTCATCATCATCACCATTGTTATCACCACTGTCATCATCATCACCATTGTTATCACCACTGTCATCATCACCATTGCCAGTAGCAGCATCACCATTATCATCACCAATGTCATCATCAACATCACCATTATCACCACTGTCATCATTACCATTGTCAGCAGCAGCATCACCATTATCATCATCACCATTATCATCATCATCACCATTGTCATCCTTATCATCATTACCATTGTCATCATCATCATTACCATTGTCATCATCACCATTGTCATCATCACCATTATCATCACCATTGTCATCATCATCATTACCATTGTCATCATCACCATTGTCATCATCACCATTATCATCACCATTGTCATCATCATCATTACCATTATCATCATCATTACCATTGTCATCATCACCATTGTCATCATCACCATTACCATCATCACCATTATCATCATCATCATTACCATTGTCATCATCACCATTGTCATCATCACCATTATCATCACCATTATCATCATCATCATCACCATTATCATCATCACTACCATTGTCATCCTTATCATCATCACCATTATCATTGTCACCATTGTCATCATTATCACTGTCATCATCATCAACACCACTATCACCACTATCATCACCATTATCACCATTATCACCACTGTCATCATCATCTCCACCACTGTCATACTCATCACCATTATCACCATCATCACCACTGTCATCATCATTACCATCATCACTATCACCACCATCATCACCACTACTGTCATTATCATCACCATTATCATCATCATCACCATTATCACTATCATCACCACTGTCATTATCATCATCACCATTGTCATCACCAATGTCATCATCACCATTGTCAGCAGCAGCATCACCATCATCATCACTACTGTCATCATCGTCATCACCATTATCATCATCACCATTATCACCATCATCATCATCACTACTGTCATCATCATCATCACCATCATCATCATCATCACCATTATCACCATCATCATCATCACTACTGTCATCATCATCATCATCATCATCATCACCATTATCACCATCATCATCACTACTGTCATCATCATCATCACCATCATCATCACCATTATCACCATCATCATCATCACCACTGTCATCATCAACATCACCATTATCACCACTGTTATCATCACCATTACCATTGTCAGAAGCAGCATCACCATTATCATCATCATCACCACTGTTATCATCATCACCATTGTCATCATCACCATTATCATCATCACCATTATCATCATCACCACTGTCACCATCAACATTAACATTGTCTTCATCACCATTGTCATCATCACCACTGTCATCATCATTGTCACTACTGTCATCACCACCACCATTGTCATCACCATCATCATCACCATTATCGTCATTACCATTGTCATCATTATCATCATCACCACTGTCATCATCACCATTGTCATCACCACTGTCATCATCACTACTGTCATCATCACCACCTTTGTCATCATCACCATTATCACCATCATCATCATCACCATTATCACCATCATCATCATCACCATTGTCAACATCAGCATCACCACTGTCATCATCATCATCACTACTGTCATCATCATCACCACCATTGTCATCACCGTCATCATCATCACCATCATCATCATCATTACCATTGTCATTATCATCATCACCACTGTCATCATCATCACCACCTTTGTCATCATCACCATTATCACCATCATCATCATCACTGTCATCACCACTATCATTATCACCATTGTCAGCATCATCACCACTATCATCATCACCATTGTCAGCATCATCACCACTATCATCATCACCATTGTCAGCATCATCATCACCACTATCATCATCATCTCCACCTCTGTCATCACCATCATTGTCATCACCATTGCCATCATCACCACTATCATCATCACCATTGTCATCATCACCATCACCATTATCACCATCATCACCATTGTCATCATCATCATCACCACCGTTATCATCACCACCATTGTTAACATCATTACCATTATCACCATCATCATCATCACCATTATCACCATCATCATCATCATCATCATCATCATCACTACTATCACCATCATCATCACCACTGTCACCATCATCAACATCCCCATTGTTATCACCATCACCACTGTCATCATCATCTCCACCACTGTCACCATCATCAATGCCATCATTATCAGCAGCATTGTTACCAGCAGCAGCACCGTTATCAGCAGAAACTAGTTTACCTGGTAAGTTAGACTTTGTACTTGTGAATCACTTCCTTGGCTATTTTTAGTTTGTGTGTTTTTGTGGTTATGTACATAGAGAGCTAAGCACTCAAACAAGAATATTTTAGGTAAATTATTAAGATATCTGCCAACATCTGGTATTATGCAGACAGACAGGTCTCTGTGGAGGAATTAATTTTCCATTTACAGCTAAGAGGCTGACGTTGCATCCATGGCCTTCTCTTCACCTGGCCCAGATCAGGACACTGAGTTCATGTGCATGTGGCAGAATAAGAATTAGATTCCAGAATTGAATAATCAGGTCATGAAGCTCTTTAGAACTTTCTCATATTATTCTTCCCATTCAATGCATATTTATTGAATACATTCCAGCATTATCGGTTTGTAGATGCTGCTTTCATTTCCTTCAGGTTCCTCAAATATGATGTTCTTAAGTTTCCTATTTTTTAAAGATTTCTACTGGGCCAAGAATTCAAGGGTCCCTTTACCGTGAACATAATATAGATGAATGAAAAGTTAAGCAGTCTCGTTTGATGGTGACTTCCTTAGCTGAACTGAAAGAAAACCGAAAGCTTCAGAGTGTCTTGTAATGCAATGCCCACTTGTTCTTTCCCCACTGCGGACAGTGACCCACTCTGTTGTTCTTTCTAGGGGGTGGCTTCTCCAAGCCTTCACTGACCACAGCCCCGGAGGCCCGGACACCTCCACCTGCAGGTATGGGAACCAGTTCCTGAGTCTATATGACCTCCCTGTCCTCTTCTAATTCCAAATTCCCAGCAGAAAATCTGGCCTGATTCAGCACAGGGCCCGGTTCCTCTGAAGTCAGACATACACTTGAGCTGGCTGGGCAGCCTCAGTCATGGGGCACATGGCACTGGCCCCGTGCCCCCTCCTGGCTTCGGGTAGGACAGGTCATCTAAGAAAGGGATATGGGTAAAGAAGACATGTACGAGTTATCTATTGTCACGTAAAACCACCCCAAACACAGTGGCTTAGGTCAGCACCATTTGTAATTGCCCGTGAGTCTGGGGGTCAGCTGGGCTGCCTTGCAGATCTGGGGTAGGCTTGGCTGGTGTTGGCTGATCTCGGCGGGGCTCCCACATGCATTTCAGGTTAGCTGGCAGGTCTGTGGAAGACCGTCTGGCCTAGGATGGCCTCCCTCACAGGCCTTACCTTTCCATAGCTGTTATCTGAGGTGACAGAGGTGATGCAGTCATGTGTTTTTCATCACCCAGCCCCCTGGCTCAGGCTTATTCTCATGATTGTCCCAGAGTTTCCATGGAGCCCAGGAGAGCCTGTCACCTGTCTCAGACTCAGCTCAGCATGGCTTTGGGTAGGACAGGGTATATGCATCATTAGTTCTGCTACATTCTTTTGGCAAAGCGAGTCAGGAGCCACCAGCCCAGAGTGAAGGCGTAGGAAATGAGAGGGGAGCTGCAATGTCGCATCGTGCAGAGCAAAGCTATGAGGAGGAGAAAAACTGGGGCCGCTGGTGTGAAGGACCAACCCCCGGCAAGCTGTCTTCAACGGGGTGAGGGAGAGGAGGGCATTAGGGCTCCTTCAAGTATGGATCTTTCCTGGCAGCCGGAAGGGTGTAAGTTGCAAAGTCATGGAATGCAAGGAAGGCTAGTCTGGGTAGAAGCCAGTCCAGCCATCGACAGGCAGAGGCTGCTGTTCTCACCCCGTGACCCCTACTCTTCCCAGGAGGCTGGGCCCCCATGAGGCTGGTGGGCAGCAGGGGGAGCTGCGCGGGCCGCGTGGAACTCTTCTACCAGGGCATCTGGGGGACCGTGTGCGATGACCTCTGGGACCTGCCACAAGCCAACGTCGTCTGCAGGCAGCTGGGGTGTGGCCGGGCCGTTTCAGCGCCCGGTGAGGCCCACTTCGGGGAAGGTTCTGGCAAGATCCTGCTGGACGACGTGCACTGCAGGGGCGACGAGGGGAGCCTGGAGGAGTGTGCCCACCTCGGCTGGCTCTCCCACAACTGCGGGCACGGAGAAGACGCGGGCGTGGTCTGCTCAGGTAACCCCGCCTCTGCCAGGCCAAGTGGCTTGGGCTCCTCCCAGGCAGAACTTACAAAAAACGGGGTAAGAACTCACACAGCCACTCTCATCTCTGCCTACAGATGCTGCACACACGGCGGGAACACCACCAGGTAGGGAGGGCCCTGGTGCCAAGGGCAGCGTGCTCACCCCTTGGGGCAGAGGCTCTGCTGGAATTGGGTGTCCCTTACTCTCCTGTGGGGTTGGGGGGGCCTAGCCCGAAGCCCCTGAATGTCCCTGGTGAGGTGGAGCATACCTTAGGCTCACGTCCACCTCTCCTCCGAACACCACACGCAGGCAGCAGGCTCTAAACTCTTGGCTCCTGTACAGCAGGCGCAGTCCGTCATTCCGAGGGCATGAGAGGACGGCAATGAGACTCGGGTAGGGGGTTAAGATCTGAGAGGCAGAGCCCAGCCCACATGGCTCCATGGTTGAGCGCCCACCTATGAACCAGGAGGTCATGGTTCGATTCCCAGTCAGGGCACAGGCCCAGGTTGCGAGCTTGATCCCCAGTGTGGGGCGTGCAGGAGGCAGTCCATCAATAATTCTCTCTCATCATTGATGTTTCTATCTCTCTCTCCTGCTCCCTTCCTCTCTGAAATCAATAATAATTTTTTTAAAAAGACTTGAGAGGCAGTTAAGAACACTTCCCGCCCAGGGGCAGGTGGCTGGTGGGAAAGACCTGGCCAAGGTCAGGTGCCCCCATTCTGTCCCCCTCTCCTCACCTCTGCCTCACCCGGTACAGCCCAGCCCCGCGGAGCTCCATGCTCTGGTTTCCCCACTGCTCTCTGTGCTGACACCCAGAGATGCCAGGTGCCGGCTCTCCTTCACCAAACCCGTCCCTGCGCCCACGTCAGCCAGCTCCACTAGGTGTCACGCATCAGGCTAAAGGGACGAGGTCTAGCGACCCTCAGTCCCCACCTCGGGGTAGTCGGCTCTAGCAGGCGGGGTGGCCTGGTCCTGGGAGAGAATCTCCAGTGGGAAGTTCTGGGCCGGATGCTGCTGGTCGGAGACGCGTCGGGGTGGGAAGGAGGATCCAAGCATCCTTGGTCCCAGCTCCTGGCCCCTGAGCAGCAGGTGGAAGGGAGCAGTGCATCGATGCCTCTTGCTATTCATCCATCGAAGCTGCGTAGCTCCAGACCCCAGGGTCCCTGGAAATGGTGATGGAACGAGCATCTCGCATCTTTCATTTTCTTAAACCCAACTTAAGCATAGCTCATTTGTGTGTGTGACGAGGGAAGGCTGCGCCAGTGTCGGGGAAGGTTCTAGACCGGTGCCTCTTCCCGCCCCACGCCAGCATCTGTCCCGGCACCAGCTCACCCCCAGACGGGCTCCATGGCTCTGGGAGGGGCCCAGGCAGCGTGGGCCTCGTGCCCACTGACAGCCCGTGTGCCCTTGGTGTTTGACAGGTCGCCCGTCGGCTGCCATGGCAGGGACGGCCACTGCAGGTGAGACTTTGGGCGTGAATGGTCTGAATTTGGAAAGAAAAGATAAAATGTGTGAACTGTGACATGAGTGAACTGAATGATGGAGAGGGGAGATCCTGAGCCCCCTCCTGCCTTTAGAGAAACCTCGGTGCGGCGGCGTCATCACTAACTCGTCGGGCGCCGTGAGGAACCCGCCGCGGAGTGACATGCACGACAACGTGACCTGCGTGTGGGAGATCCGGGCCAACGCGTCCGACCACGTGCTGCTGGCCTTCCCCTACCTGAAGTAGGTCCCGCGCCTCCGAAGCCGCAGCGCGGCCTAAAATGCCAACATGGCCTTCCCTGGCGGGTTCCCACAACCAAGTCTCCTCACGTCTCTAAGTTTTAGTCCAAAATAATCAAAAATAATGAGAGTCCCAGGTACCTCCCCCAGCTCCCCTATCGGCGGCCTCTTCATGTAACTGCTGAGCAACATCAGAAGCATGAACCTGACGTGAGTACAACACTGTTAGCTCGACTACAGACCTCTTATTCAGTGGTCACCATTTTCACATGCATGTGTACGCATGTGTGTTCCTGTGTGTGCGCGCACGTGCCTGTATATGTGTACGTGTGCGTGCATGTGTCTCTGTGTGTGCACATGTGGGGTGCACATGTGTATGTGTGTGTGACAGAGGCGAAGATTAAGACGCAGAGTGTCTGTAATTCAGCCTCTGGTTAAAGATGCAGATTCCAGGGGACGCAGACCTCAGAAATGAGAAATTTTCCGATTTTAATGTCGTAGTCAAGGTTGACGTCCTTGACAGATCAATGTCTTAAGGAGACTGCCCCCCAGAAGCCACTTAAATTGTTTATTTCCCTTGAATTTGCTTAACCAAAATATGAGTTGGGAAGGAGGCTCAGGGGCCGAGGCATGGACACGGGTTTCTGACGAGAGCACTAGAGGCATCTGGACAAAGCTTGACAACGGAGAGCAGCTGACCAATCAGATCGCTCCCACAAGGCGAGCTGGGCGGGGTGGGACCTCCCTCCCTCCAGGCTCATAAATGGCTGGACTGGACCTGGGAGCCGTGTCTACACAGGCAGACCCAGCAGCCTCTGCCCGCGTCTGCCCAGGAGATCCATGGCCTTGGTTCGCCCAGCCCTGCCCTGGGCCCGGGGCTTCGAGGCACTGTGTCCTCAGGGCACACCTAGAGCTTTGGCCGCCTCTCTCCAGTCCCAGTTAAAGCCCCACTCCTCCTTGAGGGAAAAGTGAGATAAAAGGAATGCATCCTTCGTTTGAAGGCCAGTGTTTCATCTGTCTGGGGCCTCTTTAGGGTCATGACATAAGGGCCTGCCTCCCAGCACACCCACAGGGCTGCCGCCAGGGGCCTGAGGCTCCATCCACTTCCTTGCAGCCTGGACTGCACCAACGAATACTTTGACATCCTGGATGGCCCCCCGTCCTCGGCCACATCCCTGGGGAGGACCTGCTCTGGCTTCTACCTCACCTACGAGTCCTCCTCCAGCTCCATGACCCTCAAGTACTTCCGGAGCTCCAACAACATCGGGAAGGTCTTCATTGCGTATTATTACTCCGCAGCCAAAGGTAAGAGGGTGGTAAGCGTGAGCACCGGGAGCGGGCCTGTCCGCCTGGGGAGCAGTGACTGTCCCATCGCTGCGCTGGGACCTTGGGCGGCAGACGCGGCCTCTGCGTCCCCCCCTCCCCCCAGAATGGGGATGATCAGATGACCCCACTTCCAGGCCTGTTGTGAGGGGACTGACGCAGGTAAGGCATTTGTTATGGGCGTCATGAGTGCTCGGTAATTGGCAGCTGCCTGGTGGCCGTTCAGTCCACGCAGCGTCTCCTCGCAGGCTCACTGGAAGCCATTTCTGAGTCCCTCCGAGTCCCGCACCAGGCGTGTTAGGACCTGCAGGGGGTGTGGCCCCAGCCCAGGAGACAGAGGGCCTTCAAGACCAGCACGGGCGACACAATTAGAGGGCAAGTAGGATACAGTACATTCAGGCCAGCAAATAGAATGTGCTAAGTTAGTGTGTGCGTGCGTGTCAGGCAAGGCACCAGGAGAGAGAGAGGCCAGTGTAGACTACAGCAACGTGTTCAGGAAAATACAGAGAACAACCTGAGGGTTGTCTTTAATTATTTTTAATATTTTTATTGATTTCAGAGAGGAAGGGAGAGGGAGAGATAGAAACATCAATGATGAGAGAGATTTATGGATCAGCTGCCTCCTGCATGCCCCCTACTGGGGATGGAGCCTGCAACCCGGGCACATGCCCTGACTGGAAATCGAACCGTGACCTCCTGGTTCATAGGTTGACGCTCAACCACTGAGCCACGTCGGCCGGGCTTAGGTTTGTCTTTAAACCTGGTGAGGCTGTGAGCGGAGAAGCAGGAGGCCCAGCAGGTGAGAGGCCACAGGAGCACAGGTGGGATGGGCGAGGTGTGTGGTGCGGAGGCCACCAGGGGCTGGACCGAGGGTCCTGATGAACCGCATGTGCCGAGCTTGGAGGTGGCAGCAGCCGTGGTCCGAGGAACAGCTGGCGTCGACCAGATGCCTCTTTTGAGCTGGGCAACATCCTGAGCACTTTGCATGTGCTGCCTCCTCCGATCCTCACGCAAACCCCTGGTTCTTCCCCTTTGACAGGTGAGGAAACCGAGGCTGGAGAGGGTCAGTCATGCCCCGCGGCCTCCCAGCGATGGGCCCTCCACTAGTGACCCCTGAGCGGGGCTGAGCTCAGGGACGGTCTTTCAGCCTCGGCCTCGGCCGACACGCCGCTCAACACAGCCTCCTGCTAGCAAGCGCCCGGCGCCCCGCTGAGCTGTCATGGGAGCTGCTCTGTGTCACAAGTAGATCAGGGAAGTCGCCACGATCAACGTGACACGGTTGCTGATTGACGGTTTAAATTTTAGAGAGAGACACACTGTTGATCCGTTTATTCGTGCGCTCATGGCTGACTCCTGTCTGTGCCCTGGCCGGGGTCTCCCCTGCGACCTTGGCGTAGCAGACGAGATCGGGCGCGTTCAGGGTGGTGTGGCCGTAGACCCTTGGCGTATCAGGATGACGCTCTCACCACGGAGCGGCCAGGCCAGGGCGACGTTGGACGGTTATTGATGACGGTTTTCTTGTGTTTGCAGAGCCGGTTCCACGGACCCCCCAGCTCATCAGTGAGTCCCGTCTACTGTTGTTACTTAACCTTCGCTCCTAGTTCCGCGTCTGCCTCTGTCCCCACCCCTGGCGCGGTTACTGTCATAATCCAATTCCTTTCACGCACGTCTGCTAATCGCCTGCACATATCTACCGCAGCTGAGAGGTCTGTCCACACGCATTTGCACACGTATGATGCTCACTCACAGTGGAACAGGGTTACACATATGGACCACTGGGTCCCTGCATGTTGACCGTCGTTGATTTGGTTTCCTGTCAAAAGCAGTGAACACACCTAACCAGACACCCCACGATAGGGAAAGTGGAAACCACAAAAGAAGCAGCAGCACCGATTGTGGGTGCCTCCAGCACAGAACAGCACGACTTAACTGTCGTATGTCCAGGGTCGGGGCAGGAAAAGGGAGGATTACTTCTGTTGGATCCCACACATCTGAGAAACATCAAGACCCCCATGTAAATAAAGTCTGATCTCAGAGGTTACTTCTTTTTTAAAAATATATTTATTATTGATTTCAGAGAGGAAGGGAGAGGGGGAGAGAGAGAAACATCAATAATGAGAGAGAGTCACCAATTGGCTGCCCCCTGCATGCCCCACACTGGGGACTGAGCCCACAATCCAGGCATGTGCCCTGACCAGGAATCGAACCCTGACCTCCTGGTTCATAGGTGGACACTCACCCACTGAGCCAGGCCGGCTGGGTGGAGGTCACTTCTTGTAGAAAAGACAGGGAGAGTGACTCTGCCAGCATCTGGCATGGAGAGCTATCTCAGAATGCTGCTTCTTATCTCGTCCACGTCCTCCCTTTTTATTTAAGGAGGTTTTCTTGTATCCACAGCCATCCCAGCAGCAACACCCACGATGGTGACAGCAAGGCCAGGTAAGCCCTGAGTGCACCCACCCGTGACCAGGTGCCTTTCCTCCCAGTACCCGCCTGTGTACCTGCTTCCTGGGCAGAAACTGGACCAACTGCACGTGGTTCGTCTGTTTGCAAATGAGCCAGGTGACTGTTTTCAAACTCTGCAGGGCCGTTCAAAACCCCTGGCCACATTGGGCTCTCGCATCCAGGGGGAGCAGAGGTCATTTATTCAGAGCCTTTCGAAGTCTTCAAACCCTGAGCAGGTTCCACGGCCTTCTAGTGGGACCCTATCTTCCCTTTCTGTGGCCACGTGTGGTCATAGTTGACGCACCTCCACGTCACTAGTGACATTTTAAGGGAGCAGAGCATCAGACACCCTGGAGGCAGGGAGCTAGAGCAGCAGAGAAGAAAGAAAAGCAGTGACCTTTGGAATTAGACCTGCGTTTAGAGCTATTACTCACCAGGCGTGAGATGGGGGGGGAGCCACTTGGCCTCAACTACCAGTTTCCTCATAGATAAAGTTGGTAAACTGATGTTCTTCCTGAGTTACTACAAAGGTGAACACACGCACACACGTGCACACACACACACGCACGCATGAACACACGCACACACGCACATGCACGCGCACACACAGCACCTCAAAAAACCACAGATCACTGTGTACATTATTCATGTTCTTCTGCATTTGCCCAGAGTGGCCCAATAATTATTCAGTTAATGGACAGTTTTAAAATATGTTTTTATTGATTTCAGAGAGAAGGGAGAGGGAGAGAGAGATAGAAACATCAATGATGAGAGGGAATCATGGATCGGCTGCCTCCTGCACGCCCCACACTGGGGATCGAGCCCGCAACCCGGGCCTGTGCCCCAACAAGGAATGGAACTGTGACCTCCGGGTTCATAGGTCAGTGCTCAGTTACTGAGCCATGCTGGCCGGGCTGGGCTAAATGGCATTTGACAATCCTAATGATTTGTCAAACCCGGGAGGTTGACCAGTTGACTGACCGCTTGCCAAGTTCTCCATCCCTGATGGTGCAGGGCCGGGAGCCCAACCAGCTCGTGGGGAGTGTGCAGCATCCCCGACGGCAGTCATCATGAGGTCTCTGTCCACAGGGGACTGGCCGGAGCTGCGGCTGGCAGGTGGCTCCGGCCCATGCTCGGGGCGTGTGGAGGTCCTCCGCCAGGGGGCCTGGGGCACCGTGTGCGACGACCTGTGGGACCTGAACGAGGCTGCGGTTGTGTGCCGGCAGTTGGGCTGCGGCAGGGCCATCGCTGCCCTGGGGAAGGCCCACTTCGGCCCGGGCTCTGGGGAGATCCTCCTGGACAACGTCCAGTGCTCAGGGGCGGAGCGCCACCTGGGCCAATGCGTGCACTCGGGCTGGGCGGAGCACAACTGTGGCCACCGTGAGGATGCCGGCGTCACCTGCTCTGGTAGCCCCTCCCCTCTCAGATAATCCTTTCAGGTGTTGTGGGTGAAGGCATGTGAAACCATGCATCCCAGATGGAATGTCATCCATCCCTCCATCCCTCCATCCATCCATCCTTCCTTCCATCCATCCATCCATCCATCCTTTCATCCATCCTTCTATCCATCCATCCATCCATCCCTCCCTCCCTCCATCCCTCCGTCCATCCATTTGTCCATCCCTCCCTCCCTCCATCCTTCCATCCATCCCTCCATCCCTCCATCCCTCCCTCCCTCCATCCATCCATCCATCCATCCATCCTTCTATCCATCCATACATCCATCCATCCATCCCTCCCTCCTTCCATCCCTCTGTCCATCCATTTGTCCATCCCTCCCTCCATCCTTCCATCCATCCTTCCATCCCTCCACCCCTTCACCCCCTCCCTCCATCCCTTCATCCATCCCTCCATCCCTCCATCCCTCTGTCCATCCATTTGTCCATCCCTCCCTCCCTCCATCCTTCCATCCATCCCTCCATCCCTCCATCCCTCCACCCCCTCCCTCCATCCCTTCATCCATATGCTCATTCTTTCATCACACAATCCTCGAGCTTCTCCCTGGCCCTGGGCTCAGACACACACCCTCCCAAGGGCAGCTATAGATGGCATTGGGGGGGGGGGGTCTCAAATATTCATGTGCACCTTCCCCACCCGGGGCATGGCAATGCAGGATGCAGGATCCTGACCCTGGAGGTGATGACTAACTCGGTTTGAGAAGGGGCTCTGGAGTCTGCATTTTAACACATATCCCAGGTGATTCAGGATTAGAGGGGACAGGCAATCCAACCCTGAGTCCCCTGCCCCCTGAGACCAAGGACCCTGCCAGAGGAGGCCTGGACTGGCCCAGGGGCAGGTCTAGTGCTCTGGTCTCTGAAAGACCATGGTCCCTTCCCCTTTGTCCTCCACCCATGCCCGTACCCCATGTCCTCCACGCTTCGGATTCACTAATGAGTGAGACCTCTTCTCATTATGCTCCTAGATGCAGAAGACCTGTCTCCTCCCACACCTCCAGGTATGTCCATGTCTTTCTAGTCCAAGCAACTTTTATAATAATGATAATAATAATAATAATAATATCAAATATGGATGAATGTTGAGAACCACACACTGTTCTGAGCTCTTTGCATTTATAACTCATTTAATCCCCACAACAAGCCTTGAGGTAAGGACTTTGATTATTCCCATTTTTCAGATAGGTACATTGAGACAAGGAAGTTAGTAATATATCCAGGACTCGCCAGTGGATTTGAACTCAAGCTGTTGCTCTCTTGGGCACCAATCTCATTGACCACACTGCCCATCGGCCCCGGCTACACAAAGACCAGACAAAACCGGAGCAGAGAGGGGGCAACGTTTTGCTCAGATTACTGGTTGCCCCCAGGACAATCCTGCAAAAAGGGATCTGCTATTGTATTTCACAGAAGAGAAGTTTGAGGCTCAGAAAGGTTAAGTACCTTTCCTGAGATCACTCAGGAATTTAATGGTGGAACCAGCCTGGCCCCTACGTTCATGGTCTTGGGGACCTTGTGACTTCCGCCTGTTTTCAAAGACCTTATAACTTACTGATTGAATGATATTCGTGTGTAATAAAAACCAAAGTTTAGCCCGGCCGGTGTGGCTTAGCGGCTGAGTGTCAGGGCACAGGCCTGGGTTGTGCGCTTGATCCCCAGTAGAGAGCGTGCAGGAGGCAGCCGATTCATGATTCTTTCTCATCGTTGATGTTTCTATCTCTCTCTCCCTTTTCCTTCCTCTCTGAAATAAATTAAAAAAGTAAAAAATAAACCATCCACATGTTATATAGTCAACATTTGAAACACACACACAAAGGTGGGAAAAGCCAGGCCCGCACTTGCGGTGTGAATCCTGAGGGGCCGCTGGAGGTGAATGAAGAGGCACTTCACTTCACAGCAAGGACAGTCGGGGCCGCTGGGCCGCAGGCATCCTGCCGGGCCTGCCTGAGTGAGTTCACTCCTCTTCCCGGCTGAGGACTGGGGCGACCGGAGGCTGCCCGAGCAGCGGAGCTGGAAGGGTCGAGCTCCGTCTCCTGCTCTTTGCTCTGTGCCCACAGAGTCTCAGACAACACACACAGGTCACCTGTCACTGGCGTGTTCCGGGCGCTCCTGGGGACGCGGCTTCATGTTGTGACTGAGGGGTCGGGCTGTCTGTTAAAGGGCCCGGGTGAGGGTCAAGGGCACAGACAGGCAAATGTACGTTCGTCTGTGGTTCTCTCACTTCATGGGTCACGGATGGAGGAGCCTGTGTGGGGCGAGAGGAGCCGTCAGTCCATCACAGTTATCACCCCTTGTTTTCCTTCTAGGGGGTCCCACGGCGTCTCAGGATCACATAACAGGTAATCGCTCGTTTACCTTGAAATGGAAACTCCATCTCACTCATCAGAATGAGACCGAAAGGACGCTCCTTCCCAGGAGGCCTTTAGGCTGAAGGTCTGCGCAGACGGCCTCGTGTGTGCCCACCAGGGGGCACTGCTGCCCACGGCACCCACCGGGTGTGGGGCCGGGTCATTGCGGTCACGCAGGTGCCCCCTGTTGTTGCAGGAGGAAGTGGCTCCTGTGGAGGGGTGCTGACCAGGCTCCCCGGCTCGTTTTCCAGCCCCCGGTACCCGGAAAACTACCCAACCGACACCCAGTGCGTCTGGGAGATCCACGTGGATAAAAAATCCCACATCAAACTCCTGATTCCGAGCCTGAGGTAAGGACACAGCCTTGAGCACGCCTGTGACCCAGTCGGAACCACCAGCCTCACTCGTTCCTCAAAGGGAACAAAGTGCTGGTCACATCTGAGAAAGGGAGTCGCTGTGCCACATGTCCGTGCGCAATGTAAACCATGACCAGACGTGGAATCCGGGACTGTCCTGCCGTGTGCGCTTTTCGGTCAGGGCGGCCCCAGCAAGGTGCCAACTCTCCGCTTTGCCCCCACCCCAGCCTGGAAGACATCCCGGGGTGCCCCTTCGACTCGGTGGAGATCTTCGATGGGCCCAGGATCGCCTCACTCTCCCTGGGCCGGTTCTGTGCCCCGGGAGCTCTGCTGGTCTTCTCCTCCTCCGACACCATGACCGTGGTCTTCCAGAGCGACTTCGTGGTCACCAACTCCGGCTTCTACGCTCTGTTCGACGTGATTCCGCCGGATGAGGGCGAGCCAGGTAGGAGGCCCCGGTAGTTCTGAAAAGACAGGACAGCCCTGGCCGTTTTGGCTCAGGGATTGATTCTAGTCAAGGGGTTCAAGGGCACGAACCCCGGTTGCAGACTCCATCCCCAGCCCCTGCAGGAGGCAACCAATCGATGTTTCTCTCTCTGCCTCTCCCCCTCCCTTCCACTCTGTCTAGAAATCAATGGGAGAAATATCCTCAGGTGAGGATTTAAAAAAAAAAAAGACAGAACAGTTTTCTAATTGGAGGGACTTCCCTATCAGCAGATGCCTGGGATGCAGTTTTGTTTTTTAAGAATTAAAGGAATTTTTAAAATATTTATTTATTGACTTCAGAGCGGAAGGGAGAGGGAGAGAGAGAGAAACATGAATGACGAGAGAGAACCATGGATCGGCTGCCTCCTGCACGCCTCCTACTGGGGATCGAGCCCGCAACCCGGGCCTGTGCCCTGACCAGGAGTCAGGCCGTGACCTCCCGGTTCCTAGGTCAACACTCAACCACTGAGCCACACCAGCCGGGCCTGGGTTCAGTGTTGGCCCTCAGCCTTCGTCCCAGGGCTCTGCCCTGCAGCCGCTGTCTTTCCCACTAAGAGTGCCAGCTGGGCAGGTGAAGCGAGAGGACGATGCACAGCCTGTGTGTGAAGGCGGCTGCGCCTCCTCCCTGAGCAGCGGGGGCTGGAGGTGCTGTCCCCGCACCCTCACTGTCCGCCGGCTGGGCGGGAGCTGTCCAGGGTGCTGGGCGGGAGCTGTCCAGGGTGCTGGGCGGGAGCTGTCCAGGGTGCTGGGCGGGAGCTGTCCAGGGTGCTGACCCTGAAGCCCGCCTTCCTAAGAATCCGCTTCTCTCCGCGCCACCCCACGGCCTTCCCTGACCAGGAATCGAACCCTGACCTCCTGGCTCGTAGGTCGGTGCTCAACCACTGAGCCCCCGGCCGGGCGAAGTCACCCCTTCTTTATCTTCATAGGATGTAGTGTGGGCTCCTGAGTTTACCTTTTCTCCACGTGCAGGTGCTGGGGACTTGGCTCCGGACGGGACTCCCACATCCCCAGGTGGGTCGGGCACCTTCCTGGAAGCGAATCGGGAGTCTGACCTGGGTCCTGACCTGGACACCGGGGGGTAGTGACCCAGATGCTAGGCCAGCCCAGGGAACTGTTAAAATCCCCAGTGTCCAGACCGCACCCTGGACCAGTCCCGACAGCATCTCAGGGGCCACACCCAGTCACCAGTTCTGTTATGGCTTCGATACCACCCACGGGTCCCCAGGGGCAGCCACGGGGGAGTGCCGGTGGCTCGGCCAACCAGCTAAGAGCGACGTTTCCCAGAAAAATGACATCCCAGACGCTCCCCTCTGGGCAGCAGAGGGGGGAAGGGCGGGAGCATTTGGCTGGGCTTCAGCATCCATGGCTGGGAGGAGGCTGAGCTGGGAGGGAGGAGGCTGAGCTGGGAGGGAGGAGGCTGAGCTGGGAGGAGGCTGAGCTGGGAGGGAGGAGGCTGAGCTGGGAGGGAGGAGGCTGAGCTGGGAGGGAGGAGGCTGAGCTGGGAGGAGGCTGAGCTGGGAGGGAGGAGGCTGAGCTGGGAGGGAGGAGGCTGAGCTGGGAGGGAGGAGGCTGAGCTGGGAGGAGGCTGAGCTGGGAGGGAGGAGGCTGAGCTGGGAGGGTGCTGAGCTGCAGGGAGGATGCTCAGCTCTCCTGATTGCCTCTGGCTTTGGTTTTTGCAGCTGTGTTTCCTCAAGCTTCTACGCCACCAGGTAATAACTCCCTTTCAGCGGAAGCATCCCCTTCGAAGGACGGGGTCCCTTTGGTCATGCATCCACAGAGGGCGCCTGTGTCCGGCTGCCGCGAGGGAGGAACTGGGGGCTGGCACCCTCACAGAGGGGCTGGGGTCCCCCGGCTTGCGCGGCAGGGAACTGGGAGATCACAGATAAAGGATGGACTGGACACCCCGCCCTGCCACCTACACATCCGATCCCATTTCCGGTCTCCCCTGCAATCATTGTAGGGTCCTGCCAACCCCTCATACCTCGGTCCCCTCCCTCCCTCCTTCCCTCCCGGACACAATCCGCTCTGTCTGTACCAGCTCCGTCCATTCCCATTTTGCAACTCACTGTTGCGCCTGGAGGAATCCTGGCTCCCACGCCTGGGAAAGGCAGAGCCCAGGCCTGGGGAGCCACCGTGGGCTCCGTCCTACTTCACAGGAGGCAGCAGCTCCTGTGGGGGAGACATGTCCGGCCCCGTGGGCTCCTTCTCCAGCCCCTGGTACCCCGCCAACTACCCCACGGACGTGCGGTGCGTCTGGGAGATCCGCGTGGCTCAGGGGCTCCTCGTGTTGCTGACCGTCCCGAGGCTGCGGTGAGCTCTGCTTCCTCCACCTCCAGGCGGTTAGAGGGACCCGGCCTCCCTCAGCGCCTGGAGCTGGGGCGGCAGGGGGGTGCTCTGGGCAGTTAGAGGGACCCGGCCTCCCTCAGCACCTGGAGCCTCCGGGAGGCAGAGAGGGACGTGGTGAGAGACTGGGAGCCAGAGAGTGGGGGGACTGGGGGCTGAAAAGGAGCGAGCAGGGCATGATGAGAGGCTGACTGGCCTGGGGTCCCCCTGAGAAGGGCAGGACCGCAGGTTCCAGCGCTATTTAGGGGTGAGGTCCCCCAGCGGGGTGGGGGGCTGGAAGGAGGTGGCCGGGAGGACGGCAGTTTCTGGCTGGACGCAGGGCCAACCCCGACTGTATCTGAGACACTTCCGCGGGTCCCGGGGGCTAACTCCGCGTTGCCCCCCCAGGTTGGAGGACGCCTTCGGGTGCCCCTACGACTTCATCGAGGTGTTCGACGGCCGGCAGAGGGCCTCGCTGTCCATGGGCAGGTTCTGTGCCGGGGCGGCCCTCACCTTCCTCTCTTCCTCCAATGTCCTGACCCTCGTGTTCAGAAGCGATGCGGCTGTCACCCGCACGGGGTTCTACGCCCTGTACCGCGCTGTGGAGCCAGCCGAGAGCGCCGTGCAGCCGGGCCAGAGTGAGGAGAGCGAGGAGAGCGAGGAGAGCGAGGAGAGCGAGGAGCGAGGAGAGCGAGGAGAGCGAGGAGAACGAGAGCGGGAGCGGTAGGTGTCCCGGCGCAGACCTCGGGGACGCAGCTCCGGGCCAGGGGGGTCCCGCGTGCATGTCTGCTGGGGGGAGGGGGGTCGCGTGCCCATGCGTGACAGTCCGGCTGTGGACGCTGTGGAGCAGGAACAGAAACCCAGGCGAGCTCTCCACGCGCTGCACCCGGCCTCCCCGGCTGCACGTGGGTGTGACCGTCCAAACCCTAAAAGAGCCGGAGTCCGCTCCGTCCCCTCGGCACCAGGAAGGCACAGCACGAGGGTCGGTAGTTCCACGTGTTGTGAGGGAATGTTCTGGAGCCGAGTCCTCGCTCATGGTACCACTTTTCTCTGTGTATTTTCAGACTCGACTGCTGACAGCCCCCATACAGGTACCCCCGCTTTCTTTCTTTCTTTCCTGTTTATTTATTTAAAAATGTATGTTTTATTTCAGAGAGGAAAGGAGAGGGAGAGAGAGAAACATCCATGAGGAGAGGGACTCACTGACCGGTTGCCTCCTGCATGGCCCCGACTAGGGATTGAGCTGCAACCCGGGCATGTGCCCAGACCAGGAATCGAAACGTGACCTCCTGGCCCTGACCGGTGTGGCTCAGTGGATAGAGCGTCCACCTGGGGACTGAAGGGTCCCAGGTTCGATTCCGGTCAAGGGCATGTACCTGGGTTGCGGGCACATCCCCAGTAGGGGGTGTGCAGGAGGCAGCTGATCGATGTTTCTCTCTCATCGATGTTTCTAACTCTCTATCCCTCTCCCTTCCTCTCTGTAAAAAATCAATAAAATATATTAAATTTATAAAAAAGAAACGTGACCTCCTGGTTCCGAGGTCAGAGCTCAACCACTGAGCGGCACCAGCCGGGCTGCAGCTGGGATTGGGGGGGGGGGGGGCGCCCGGCAGTGACCGCTGTCCGTCCCCAGAGGCGGCCGTCAGGCTGACCAACGGCAGCCACCCGTGCGAGGGCCGCGTGGAGCTGCACATCTTGGGCATCTGGGCCACCGTGTGCGACGACGGCTGGGACCTGCGCGACGCCCGGGTGGTGTGCCGGCAGCTGGGCTGCGGCCGGGCCCTGGCGGCCCCCGGGAGCGCGCACTTCGGCCCAGGCCGCGGCCCCATCGCCCTGGACGACGTGGAGTGCGAGGGCACGGAAGGCGGGCTGGGCCGCTGCCTGCACAGCAACTGGCTCTCCCACAACTGCGGGCACCAGGAGGACGCGGGTGTCACCTGCGCGGGTGAGCCTGGCTCGGAGCCAGGCGACAGGGCCTTCCCCCTGGACGGTCCCTCGGCCAGTTTCCCAAGCCTCAGCTGCACAGGGGTCCCTGCATGACCCCACCCCCCCATACCGACTGCCTCCAACACCGCACACCCGCCTCCCACCCCACACCTGCCTCCCACCATACCCACCGCCTCCCCCACCCCACGCCCACCTCCCACCATACCCACCGCCTCCCACACCCCCACACGCCTCCCACCCCATACCCACCGCCTCCCACACCCCCACACGCCTCCCACCCATACCCACCGCCTCCCACACCCCACGCCCACCTCCCACCATACCCACCGCCTCCCACACCCCACGCCCACCTCCCACCATACCCACCGCCTCCCACACCCCACGCCCACCTCCCACCATACCCACCGCCTCCCACACCCCCACACGCCTCCCACCCCATACCCACCGCCTCCCACACCCCACGCCCGCCTCCCACCCCATACCCACTGCCTCCCACACCGCACGCCCGCCTCCCACCATACCCACCGCCTCCCACACCCCCCACACGCCTCCCACCATACCCTCTGCCTCCCACACCCCACACCCGCCTCCCACCATACCCACCGCCTCCCACCATACCCACCGCCTCCCACACCCCACACCTGCCTCCCACCCCATACCCACCGCCTCCCACACCCCCACACGCCTCCCACCCCATACCCACCGCCTCCCACACCCCACGCCCGCCTCCCACCCCATACCCACTGCCTCCCACACCGCACGCCCGCCTCCCACCATACCCACCGCCTCCCACACCCCCCACACGCCTCCCACCATACCCTCTGCCTCCCACACCCCACACCCGCCTCCCACCATACCCACCGCCTCCCACACCCCACACCTGCCTCCCACCCCATACCCACCGCCTCCCACACCCCCACATGCCTCACACCCCATACCCACTGCCTCCCACACCGCACGCCCACCTCCCACCATACCCACCGCCTCCCACACCGCACGCCCGCCTCCCACCCCATACCCACTGCCTCCCACACCGCACGCCCACCTCCCACCATACCCACCGCCTCCCACACCCCACACCCGCCTCCCACCCCATACCCACTGCCTCCCACACCGCACGCCCACCTCCCACCATACCCACCGCCTCCCACACCCCCCACACGCCTCCCACCATACCCTCTGCCTCCCACACCCCACACCCGCCTCCCACCATACCCACCGCCTCCCACCATACCCACCGCCTCCCACACCCCACACCTGCCTCCCACCTCATACCCACTGCCTCCCACACCCCCCACATGCCTCCCACCATACCCACCGCCTCCCACACCCCCACACGCCTCCCACACTGTAAAGTAATCTGGCTCTGGTGGTGGTGGTGGTGGTGGTGGTGTTGATCCTCACCTGGGAATATTTTTCCATTGATTTTTAGAGAGAGTGGAAGGAATGGGGAGGGACACAGAGAGAGAAAAACAGTGTAAGAGAGACATGGATTGGTTGCCTCCTGCATGCGCCCTGACAGGGCCAGGGATCGAACCCATGACCCTTCAGGCTGCAGGCCGATGCTCTAACCACTGAGCCATCAGCTGGGCTGGCGTGCGTCTGTTTTTGAGGAATATCTGTCCACCACCGCGCTTTGCCTTTCTTGAGCTTGTGTCAGTCGGCGGTGGACACGCCATTCAGGCGATGGAGGGAGGTCCCCACAGAGAAGGGACTTGGGGGATCCATTTAAACTCAGAAACTGTGGGTGACTCACAGGGCCGCCCACGCTGACAGCACCTCGGTGTGACTTGCTTCTCCCGTCTTCTCTCCATCCTCAGCACCCTCTCCGGAGCCGACAGAGGTGCCCACGCCGACAGGTGAGCTTGCCTTCTCGCCCACGGCCTCCCTTGGCAGAGTCTCGGCTCAGGACACCTCCGGCGTTTCTGAGGGAGAAAGTGTGATGTGTATTTTACCACCATTAGAATTTTAAAAAGTAACCAGGAAAGTATGGAATCTTCCCGAATGTTATTAAGAAGGTGGGCCTGACGTGGCTCAGTGGTTGAGCATCGACCTAGGAACCAGGAGGTCAGGGTTCGATTCCCGGTCAGGGCACAGGCCCAGGGTGGGGGCTCGGTCCCCAGTGTGGGGTGTGCAGGAGGCGGCCGATCCATGATGCTCTCTCATCACTGATGCTTCTCTCTCTCCCTCTCCCTCCCTTTCTCTCTGAGGTCACTAAAGGCAAACTCACGCGTGTGGTTTCGATGGCCTTTGAGAAGAGCATGAGGTTTCGCGGTTTGTTTGGGACGTGCCGACGCGTGTTTTTCTTTTCTCCGTGCAGTTTCTTCGGCTCCTGGGGAGCAGCCACGGGGTTCCCACCCACTAGGTACCGTCCATCGTTACATTCTCTGATGGCGTTTCTTAGGCCGGTCCCGGCATCTGTAGCCAACATGACTGCCGTGACCCCGGGGCTGCGTGAAACAGGCGTGTGCCCACCAGCGGCCAGCCAGTGCAGCGTGGTCTCTCCTCACCAAGGAGACTCAAGTCCGCCCGCCCTCGTAGCATCAGGAAGGCCCCGACCCTCACAGGGCAGACACGGGCCCTTCTTCACGGGACCCTCGGAACCGCCCCGACCTCTGTGCCTCGGCATCTGAGGACCACCTGCCTTGGGTCCAGGGATCGGGTCACCCGGCCACTTCCTCACCCTCTCCCTCTGCTGGCCGTTCCCACCCCAACCTCTTCCAGTAAACGCCTTGTAGTGTCTAAGTTCAAGGAAAGTGAAATTGATTTTATTCTAAGAATTTCACCATGTTCTAAAAGGGCCCTGGCTTAGACATGCAAAGCCCGAGACCCAGGCATTCGGTTGAATCGTTTTAAATTTTTGAAGAAACAGCCTAAGAAATGGCACCCAAAGAGGACGAAGCAGTGGTGTTAGGGGCCTGAGCCTCCTATGCAGCCAGCGCGTGGCTGGGCTCCCGGAAAGGAGCGGCCGTGAGGAGAAGGTTGTAGTTTGTGCCAAATCTCAGATACAAGAGAGTCAGGCCCAGGGTGTCCCCGGGGCTGCGTGCTGCCCGGACAGCGAGCGCCAGGTAGGAACCGCTAACGGAAACCTGTCCGCAGATCTGCCCGTGGTGAGGCTGGCGGCCGGGCGGAGCCGGTGCGAGGGCCGCGTGGAGATCCACCATGACGGCGCCTGGGGGACCGTGTGCGACGACCTGTGGGGCCTGCCCGCCGCCCAGGTGGTGTGCCGGCAGCTGGGCTGCGGGGCGGCCCTGGCGGCCCCGGGGAGCGGGCTGTTTGGGGCCGGCTCCGGCCCCATCTTCCTGGACGACGTGTCGTGCACGGGCAGCGAGACCAGCCTGGGGCGCTGCCACCACCTCGGCCTGTCGGTGCACAACTGCGGGCACCAGGAGGACGCCGGGGCCGTCTGCGCAGGTATGGAGACCCCTCACCCCGCACCGCTTCCCTCCGGGCAGCAGGGCGTGTCCGCCAGGCGGGAAAGCCTCGGGCCAGGTCAGGGAACGTCTGGGCCCCGTTCGCCTAGAATTTTCCCAGTGTCAGCACGGCCAGTCCCTGTCCCGGGAGCCCTCAGACTTAGCACCCCAGGACCTGGTCGCAGGAGTTCGAGCGTGCCCAGTGTCACAGCCTGTCCCCTGGCCCAGATCCCAGGAGCAAACGCATACACGGGCCCGGCCGTGTGGCTCAGTGGTTGAGCGTTGACCTGTGAACCAGGAGGTCAGGGTTCGATTCCCAGTCAGGGCACAGGCCTGAGTTGTGGGGTGTGCAGGAGGCAGCCGGTCCATGATTCTCTCTCATCATGGATGTTTCATCTCTCGCTCCCTCTCCCTTCCTCTCTGAAATCAATACAAATATATTTAAAAAACAAACCTGGGGACCCGGGAGCTGCGCCCCTGCCGGGAAGGTTTGGGGTTCCGGGAGCAGCGTTTCTGGGTTCGAGTCCCATCACCTTCTCGTGGAGGTTTTCTGCGGAGAGCGTGCTGCCTGAGGCCTCTGCAGCCTCCCCGAGGGCCAGCGTGGGGGCTCCTTGCCGCCGGAAGCAGCTATGCAACCGCTCGGAAACGCTGAATGAACCCGGTACAGCCGGGTTCTCACCTGTTGTTGCTAAGCAACGTGTGGAGCTGACATCTGCGGCTCCCACCCCCTCCAGGTCCCTCCGCAGCCCAGGGCCGCCTCCCACCCCCACCCCGCCTGGAGGGCCGGTGGAGATGAGGTTCCGATGGGTGAGATGAAGACAAGGGCGAGGACGTTTCCATCACACTTTATGGCCCCTGAGTTTTGTTTTGTTTTAAATATCTCTCTTTTTTTATTGATTTCAGAGAAGAAGGGGGAGAGAGAGAAACATCAATGATGAGAGAGAATCACGGATCGGCTGCCTCCTGCGCGCCGCCCACTGGGGATCGAGCCCACAGCCTGGGCATGTGCACCCTGATCTCCGTTCCAGTCTCATCCACGAGCCCTTTCTTATGCTTAATTCGCACTCGGAAGTCACCTTTATCTAACCGTAGTGTCTCTGAGGAATATGGTTTCGATAAAGAAGTATCGGCTACATTTCCTGTTGGTGGGTGGGGGTTTTGTTTGGATTTTATCTTATTTTCATTTCTGTTCTGTTTGACACTTTCAGCATCAGCCTCAGGAATAACCACCCCGCCTGGTAATTTTATTTTCTTTCTTGCTTTAAAAAAAGTATTTTTATTGATTTCAGAGAGGAAGGGAGAGAGAGAGAGAGAGAAAGAGAGAGAGAGAGAGAGAGAGAGAGAGAGAGAGAGAGAGAGAGAGAGAGAAACGCATCAATGATGAGAGAGAATCCTGGATCGGCTGCCTCCTGCACGCCCCCTCCTGGGGATCAAACCCGCAGCCCAGCCTGTGCGGGACCAGGATTCGAACTGTGACCTCCTGGCTCTGAGGTCTGCAGAGTCCTGGTCAGTTACCCACACACGGTGGGGAGACTTGGAGCAATGGTGTTGCCCTCGACCTTCAAGCCAGCGGTCAAGGGTGGGCAAGAGGAATGGAGCCCCGAGGGTGGAGGGGTGGCCAGGAGGCAGTGGAGGGGGTGGAGGTGGCTGTGTGGACCCTGTCAGGGAAGCAGGACAGCCGCCTTACGCCTCCCGCATCTGGCAGAGTCGCTGGGCCCGGACGGCTGTCTCATTGTCATCGTGTTTCTGTTCACTTGCAGCTTCCGTGTCCACGGCCCCGACCTCCACACCAGGTAAACCCTGTCTGCCTGAGGGGCCCTCCTTGCCGCTCCGCTGTCATACTGGGCTGCTCATGGGCGCGTCCCCAGCAGACTCAGTACAGACAGAACTCGGGGTCCCCTGGCTGGAGTGTGAGCCCCCCCTCCTCTTTCTGCAGATGCCTCCACCAGCTCCGCACACGGGACCTTCCCACCCCCACCCGGTACGGCTCGCTCGCCATGACCACGACGTTCAAATCCACGAGACCAGCTTCCTACTCATGTTCCAGTTAGTGAATGGTCTGCGGAGGGACCATTTTAAAAAATATAGACTCTGATTGATGTCAGAGAGGAAGGGAGAGGGAGAGAGAAACATCAGTGATGAGAGAGAATCCTGGATGGGCTGCCTCCCGCACGCCCCCTCCTGGGGGTGGAGCCCACAACCCAGGCCTGTGCCCTGACCGGAATTGAACCACGACCTCCTGGTTCACAGGTGGACACTCAGCCCCTGAGCCCCACCAGCCGGCCTTAGTGGCTGTTTTGTCCACAAAGTCAACATCGGAGAAAAGGCACAGGAGTGTCCTTTCCCGCATGTGTGAGTGTCCCTTCCCTGTGTCCACACAGACGCCCCGTCCACCGCCGCCGACGCGGAGGCCCCCTCCGGTAAGGTTTCCTGCTGTCCCATCTCTTCAGTTAAACACGATCCACTCTCCCTCTTTCTGTTTGACAAACGGACATTTGTACCAACTATTTTTAGAGAGAACATGGGTTGGGGGGATCATGGGGGTCGAAGTGATTCCGAGGGGAAATGGGCTCAGCAAACAAGTGACGGAGGCAAAGGAGGGGCCCTGGGAGCTGGGGGGCGAGGAAGCTGTGGGTAAGGTGCCTGGGGGGCGGGGGAGGGAGAGGCGAGGACGTTCTGCGGGAGGGAGGGCACTGGGTCCTCGTCCTGAGGGCTTTAAGGGGGAGAAGTCAGGGAGGCCCCAGGGGAAGATCTCGATAGAACGTTCTGCAACTTTCCAGGTGTGGCCTCTCGGGGTCGGGGTCCCCCTGATTGAGTGGCGGCACCGGGACAGGGGTCATTATTCCAGGCAGCTGGTCCTGGCATCAGCAGCCGTGGCTGGTTTTGTGGCTCATCTGGGCCTGGAGCTGAACTACGAAAGGTTCCGCTTCCTCTGAGTCCAGCGCTGGGAGGAGGCTTTGGGGGACCTTCGGGAGGAACTGGATTATCTGGCATCAGGGCAGGAACTCGGGGTGGCTTGCTCCCAGCCGGGGGTCCTTGCAGGGGTCGTGGTTCCTGTGCCGGGGCCTCCCCATCGCAGAGCTGACGGGCAGCCATAGCTGAGCGTCCATCAGCGTGGCCCACGCTGTACCCAAGAGTTGCCCACGGTGTAACCCACCGTAAGCGAAGGCCCAGCCTCCCTCCCAGGGGCGTGCAGCCGCTGGCGCTCTCTGCTCATCCGGACAGGCTGGTGCCCGACCTGGGACAGCTGTGCCAGGGCGGCGGGAGGGCGGGCCCTCACCCACCTCGAGGGCCCCCGAACACCCACTAGACTCTGGCGCCTGGAGAACCGGCTGGGACAGCTTCTGCCCACCACTCCCCGGGTTCTGCCAACTGTGGGCGTTTGAGTTGGTTCTTCTTTGTTTGCAGAGACAACCCCCACCTCAGGCCAAGAGCCCCCACCGCCAGGTACGCTGGCTCCTCTGCTGTCTGCGCCCAGCGAGCTCCCAGGAGAGCCAACACTCCCGGCTCCCAGGGCCCAGCAGAGGGGCCCGTCAGGGTTATAGTTGTGAACAGAGGCAGCTGGGGGGACAGGGAGGGGCGGGATGGGGGAGGGGGGCCAGCATGGAGCCGCCCAGCGATGCCCATCGCCCACGTGCCCTGAGTGGCGGGGCACTTGGTAAAGTGAGACGTGGACACGGGGCCCCAGGTGGACCCGGGTTCCGCATTCCTCACGGCTCCCAGGGTGGCCCACCCCGGAGCTAAGGTGCTGAACCCGCGCTGTTTGCTTTCCTTCGGGTGTTTGGCTGCTTGTGTGGACTGAGCTCTGGGACCCGGAGAAGCAGGCGCCATCACAGCCGGGGCCTGAGGGTCCAGTTCATGGGGGTTTGCTTTTTGTGAAAGATCCACAGAGAGAAGGGGGGGGGGAGAAGGAGGGAGAAAGGACACACCGGGCTCTGAGCGCAGGGTGACTGGTTCCCATTGTACCCGGCAAGGGACCCCCAGGGGTGGGGGGGCACCCTGCTCGCTGACACTGGCTCCCTCGCCCGCAGACCGGACCCTGCGCCTGGTGGGCGGGCACGACCCCTGCGAGGGCCGCGTGGAGGTCTGGCACCGGGGCGCGTGGGGCACCGTGTGCGACGACGGCTGGAGCCTCCGCAACGCCCGCGTCGTGTGCCGCCTCCTGGGCTGCGGCCGCGCGCTCAGCGCCCCGGGGCGCGCCCGCTTCGGCCCCGGCGCCGGGCCCATCCTGCTGGACCGGGTGCGCTGCGCGGGCGCCGAGGACGCGCTGGGGAGCTGCGCGCACGCCGGCTGGACCCGGCACCACTGCCGGCACCGCGAGGACGCAGGCGTGGTCTGCGCAGGTACCGCGGGAGGGACCCCCTTCCCCCCCCACCCCGCCCCCACCACCCAGCACCCTCCGCGGCCCCCTCCCCCGCCCGGGGCCTCCCAGGCTCTGCCCTTCTTTCCTCTCCAAGCGCCCGAACCTCAGGACTCGCCACCCAGGGACTAGCAGGCTGGCCGAGCGCCAGGTTCTAGGATAGGAGAGCACAGCTGGCACTGTTTCATCCTACAGCTCAGGGGGCTTTAAAATACACTGTTACTCATTTCAGAGACGGGGAGGGAGAAGGGGAGAGGGAGAGAAACATCCATGATGAGAGGGAATCACGGATTGGATCACTGCCTCCTGCGCCCCCCTGGGGGATGGAGCCCGCAGCCCGGACCTGTGCCCCCGCCTCCTGGTTCACAGTGGACCTCAGCCAGCGCCAGGCTGCGGGCGGCCTTGGCGTTTCTGAACCGCGTCTGCCGGTTGCAGTGCAGAGCAGGGTTCGTTCTGAAACAGAGCGCAGAGGCCAAGAGGCCGCGGAGGAAGTGACTAAGGACAGACGGCTGGGCGGACAGTCTATCCAGGTGCCTTTCCTGATGCCAAGGCGGCAGGGCGCAGTCCTGGCTGCCCGCTTCCCGGGCCCCGCCCTCCGGAGCCAGGCCCCGCCCTCCGGAGCTAGGCCCCGCCCTCCGGAGCCAGGCCCCGCCCTCCAAAGCCAGGCCCCGCCCTCCAAAGCCAGGCCCCGCCCTCCAAAGCCAGGCCCCGCCCTTCAAAGCCAGGCCCCGCCCTCCGGAGCTAGGCCCCGCCCTCCGGAGCCAGGCCCCGCCCTCCGGAGCTAGGCCCCGCCCTCTGGAGCCAGGCCCCGCCCTCTGGAGCCAGGCCCCGCCCTCCGGAGCCAGGCCCTACAATGTCTTAGCTCCTCTTGAGTTCTCATCATCCGATCCTTTCCTGCAATTTCTGTGTCACCTCCCAACACCCGCCTTGGGCCCTGACCGCCACTGTGGCGCCTCCTGTGTGCGCCCGGGGTTTACCCGCGTGGGTCTCGGGTTACGGGTTCTAAGTTTGGTGAACAGCCGAGTTCACCTGGCGGGTTCCATCCCTGGTACTTTCTAGGCAAACAAGGTAGAGAAGGCGCCGCCGTTGCCTTTACCTTGACGTGGGCGTTGCTCTGGTTTTGCAGAGAAACGGGGCCCAAATCAAACAGGTCGGGGTCCCCTTGAGGCAACCGTGACCCCTGCTGGAGCCCTGATCTCCGTGGGCCTGGGCCGGGGGCTCCATCTTCAGAGCCTTCCTCGCCGTTTTCTTGTGTCTCCCGCGGTCCCAGCCCCGCCTCCCCCACCCCCACCCCCACCCCGCTGCGGGGCCACGGTGAACGGCCCTCCCTTCTCCACTCTCGGATTTACCCCAGGGGTTGCCTCTCGTCAGGACCGGGGGCTGGGGCCGAGGGTGCCCAAGGCGGTTGGGGGAGTCTGGCCACACTCCTGCCCGGCCCTGGCCCCGGGCTGGCCGTTGCCCGCCCACCCTTCCTGCTCCCGGGCCAGAGTTCCGCGTGGGCCACGGCCGGGCAGGGACACCCCGGCGCCCAGATGTGACTGTTTCTCAGCGGCAAAGCCCGCGATTGCCGTTCTCTCGCTCCAGCAAACCCTCGTGTCGAGGGCACCGTGTCCTCCACAGCGCTCCACGCAGCGGGCCCCTCCCCTCGGCTCCCCTTCCTGGGCATCGCCCGAGCGCTCTCATGCCCTTGGACGCGGCCCCAGCGGCTAGTCCAGCGCCCGTTCCCCACCCTCACCCCCGTTCCCCGCCCTCACCCCCGTTCCCGCTCTCACCCCTGTTCCCGCTCTCACCCCCGTTCCCGCTCTCACCCCCGTTCCCGCTCTCACGCCCGTTCCCGCTCTCACCCCCGTTCCCCGCTCTCACCCCCGTTCCCGCTCTCACGCCCGTTCCCGCTCTCACCCCCGGTCCCCGCTCTCACGCCCGTTCCCGCTCTCACCCCCGTTCCCCGCTCTCACCCCTGTTCCCGCTCTCACCCCCGTTCCCCGCATCTCACGCCCGTTCCCGCTCTCACCCCCGTTCCCCGCTCTCACCCCCGTTCCCCGCTCTCACCCCCGTTCCCGCTCTCACCCCCGGTCCCCGCTCTCACGCCCGTTCCCGCTCTCACCCCCGTTCCCGCTCTCACCCCCGTTCCCCGCTCTCACCCCCGTTCCCGCTCTCACCCTGTTCCCCGCATCTCACGCCCGTTCCCGCTCTCACCCCCGTTCCCGCTCTCACCCCCGTTCCCGCTCTCACGCCCGTTCCCGCTCTCACCCCCGGTCCCCGCTCTCATGCCCGTTCCCGCTCTCACCCCCGTTCCCGCTCTCACCCCCGTTCCCCGCTCTCACCCCCGTTCCCGCTCTCACCCCCGGTCCCCGCTCTCACCCCCGTTCCCGCTCTCACCCCCGTTCCCGCTCTCACCCCCGTTCCCCGCTCTCACCCCCGTTCCCCGCTCTCACCCCTGTTCCCCGCATCTCACGCCCGTTCCCGCTCTCACCCCCGTTCCCGCTCTCACCCCCGTTCCCCGCTCTCACCCCCGTTCCCGCTCTCACCCCCGGTCCCCGCTCTCACGCCCGTTCCCGCTCTCACCCCGTTCCCGCTCTCACCCCCGTTCCCCGTCCCCGCTCTCACCCCGTTCCCGCTCTCACCCCCGTTCCCGCATCTCACGCCCGTTCCCGCTCTCACCCCCGTTCCCGCTCTCACCCCCGTTCCCGCTCTCACCCCCGTTCCTGCTCTCAGGCTGCTGCAGCCTCGCCTGACCTGCCTCTCCTCCTTCTCCCTCCGCAGGTGGAGCCCGCCCTGCTGCGCCCAGGGACCACGGTAACTTCCCCCCCAACCGATCCGAGGCTGGGGGGCGGGGGGGACCAGCCTCCGGGCCTCACTGAGGCCTCGCGTGTCCCTCCATTCCCTGGGCGTCGGGAGGCCGGGAAGGAAGCCCCTTGGCACCTGCCCGCCCCCGGCTGCTGCTCCTTCTCCGGCCGCAGATGCTCAGGCCCACGTGTGTCCTGGGGAACGAACTGTCCTTTAGCTTTAGCTCCTCAGAGGCCCCGACTCCCCCGCGGGCCGCATGCTGTGGGCTGGGTTCCCCATGGTGTGACTTTGGGAAAGGGGGAGATGAAGTCCGGGAAAGTCAAGTCAAAAGCGGGGGGTGCTGAGAGCTGAGCCAGCCCAGGGCACGTGGGTACTTTGCCCACAGCCCTGGCCTCCCGCCCTGGGCACCGGGCTCCCTGTGTGAGCTCCTGCCGCCCCTGCCCACAGCCCAGCTGTCCTGCTTGCCTCACCTTTTCCGGGTCACGGTGGACCGCGGCTACCTGCGGAGGCTGGGCTACTCCTCCTGGGACGTCCACCTGAACGACGAGCTGTGTCGCCCGCGCGTCGCGGGGCCCTTCCTCATCTTCAGCGTCCCCTACGGCCACTGCGGCACCGCCCGACAGGTGAGACGGCCGGCAGCGCCCTCTGTGCTGGGAAAAGTCAGCGCCTATTACACGCCTGGTGGGAACAGGGAAGGCAGGAGCGGTGGCTTTATTCCTGAGTTCCGTGAGCCCTGCCATGGCTCCCCAACTTACCTGAGACTTCCCTTCCAATGGGGACTGTGGGGTCCAGACTGAATTTGGAATCGACAGTAACAGGTGCCGAGTGCTGGTGGGTGGGTGGGTGGGTGGATGGATGGAGGAGTGGATGGATGGCGTGTGGATGGATGGCGTGTGGATGGATGGGGGGTAGGTGGATGGGGGGGTGGATGGATGGATGGGGGTGGATGGGTGGGGGGTGGATGGATGGGGGGGTGGATGATGAATGGGTGGGTGGATGGGTGGGTGGATGAGTGGATGGATGGATGGGGGGTGGATGGATGGGGGGGTGGATGATGAATGGGTAGGTGGATGGGTGGGGTGTGGATGGATGGATGGGGGGTAGATGATGAATGGGTGGGTGGGTGGATGGATGGATGGGGGTGGATGGATGGGGGGGTGGATGATGAATGGGTAGGTGGATGGGTGGGTGGATGGATGGGGGTGGCTGGATGGGGGGGTGGGTGCATGGCTGGATGGGGGGTGGGTGGATGGGAGCAATTCCTTTAGCTCCAAAGTATTTTTTACAACACCCTTCTTTATTCAGTGCTAGAGGCTGGGTGCACGAATTCGTGCATGGTTGGGGTCCCTCAGTCTGGCTGGTGATTGTTGTCTCACCCAGTCCCAATCGGGGCCAATTGGGGCCAGCTGGCCGGGGGGGGGGGGGGGCCATGGGAGGTTGGCCAGCCGAGGAAGGTTGGCTGTGGGAGCACACTGACCACCAGGGGACAGCTCCTGCGTTGAGCATCTGCCCCCTGGTGGTCAGTGCACGTCATAGCGACCGGCCGGTGTTCCAGTTGTTCCGGTCGTTCCATCGTAACAGTCACTTAGGCTTTTATGTATATAGATTCGTGCACACCTGCCACATGCAAGCCATGGTGCTGGGCTGGGGGAGGCCTGAGGACCTGTCTGTCTGTCTGTCTGTGTGCTGTGTTTCTAACCCAGTAGCTGGCTCTGTTTTCCATTCTAGACAGTAAATACCTTGGACATTTATGTACAATGAAATGCCTATGTTTACTTCATTGTCCTTAACCACCTGCTTATGTCACAAACACTGTCACTGACATGGAGGAGACAAGACCACCAAAGGCGCCGAGTGTATAATCCCAGCGCCATTTTCTCATACGCTTAACGTGACGTGTTCCCAGCGAGATGCCCAGGCTGGGCCTCCTCCTTCTCCTCCGCCCTCCCAGGAAAGCCGCGGCTCCCTCAGCTACTCCAACTCCATCCGAGGCCGGCTGTGGGGCGCCCCCGGCCACCTCACCGTGAGGCACCGGGTGCCCCAGCTGAAGTTCACCTGCTCCGTGGACAGCCCGTCGGCAGTTGAACTTGTTCCTGGGGCTGACGAGCCGAGGCGGGGCGCTGCCTACGAGGTGTCCGCGGCGTTCCTCCAGCTGCCCGTGGCCCCGCCTGTGGGGAGTGCGGGGCCCGAGGACGCTGGCCAGAGGGAGGAGGTGTTCCTGCAGGCGACACTCCACAGCCCCGACCCCAGCCTGAGGGTCTCTGTGGACACCTGTGTGGCTTCTCCAGATCCCCATGATTTTGCAACTGTCAAGTACGACTTGATCCGGCAAGGGTGAGGAGAGGGGCCGCTGGGCTGGGCGGCTGCATTCCCGCGGCTCCTGGGGAGGGGGCCTTCGGATCAGAAACAACCCCCTGGGCAATGATGGCAGCACGAGCACGCAATGGTTTGAAATGATAGACCCTTTTTAAAGACATATTTTTATTGATTTCAGAGAGGAAGGGAGAGGGAGAGAGAAAGAGAGACATCCATGATGAGAGAGAATCATTGGTCAGCTGCCTCCTGCATGCCCCCCACTGGGATGGAGCCCGAAACCTGGGCCTGTGCCTGGACTGGGAATCGCACCGGGACCTCCTGGTTCATAGGTCGATGCTCAATCACTGAGCCACTCCAGCCGGGCTGTAAACATTTTTTCATAAAACAGAGAAAGGGGTGGTGGGAAGACCCCCATTTAGAATGCAGAGGTCTGGGTCCCAGCCTGATTGCGGAGCCAGAGTGACTCACCTGTGCTCTCCGTTAACCTCCTGGTGTGGGCCCTTCCCCCAGGTGCGTCGCAGATGACACCTATGTCAGCCTCCCCTCTCACCAGAGGAACACGGCCCAGTTCAAGTTCAATGCCTTCAGCTTCCTCCCTGGTTACGAGGTGGTCTACCTGCGGTGCGAGGTCGCCGTGTGCAAAGCGGGCGACCCCTCCTCCCGCTGCTCCCAGGGCTGTGCTGGGCGGGGCCGGAGCCGGAGGGGCACGGGCCCTGTGGTGGCCACGGGGGAGCAGGCGGGGCGTCTCCGGGTGCTGGGGCCCCTGGAAATCCAGAGGAACTGAGGGGAGCCAGGGCGTGGCGTGATTTCTCTGGTCTCCCCACAACCTGTGAGGACTAGCAGCCACTGGTACTCTTCTTCAGTAAAGCGATGCGTTTGGTAAATCAGATCCTGCGTTTTCTGACTCTTCACTCTCGAGCACTTGATCGTTGTCTGAAACTGTTCAGCATCGGGGGAGTGGTGTGAGCACAGCCGCTGTGGCCGTGTGTCAGCCATCCCCGCCAGTGAGTGCGTGCTCTCCTCCACTGAGTCCAGAGGCCCTGGGGATGGCACCAGCAAACACTCTTCACAGGCACCCCCAGCCCTGGCACACAGTGGGCACTGGGGACCTCCTCCTGGCCCTGACTGGGAATTGGGCCTATGCCCTGTGACAAGTCCAGATCATGGAGGGGGTAACATCATTGGCCCTAAAGCCTTCACTGCCCTTCTCTAAACACTAAAGCCTGTCAGGGTCCAAAGAATCAAGTTGGGTCGGGGATGGCATCTGGGCCGACTCAGGGTCCAGCTGGGTCACTTGGATGCTGCCAGGGTGCTGACCATGAGGGAGGAGAGGAGGTGACACAGGACGGGGAGGAAGAAGAAAGTACAGGTTCAGCGTCCACGAATCTCTAGCTGGCCATGTCCCGAGAGCCTGAAGCAGGTGAATTCAAGTCCCTGGCACTGGGTTTTGCAGATGAGAGAAAGGAATCCCGGTCTCCAAGGTGAGACTGGGGCTGTAGTGGGAGGTCTAGCACCTGTGACATCGGGAAGTCGTGCTTAAGAGGAGTGTGGGGCAGCCCTCTTCCATTCGTTCATCCATCCATCTATCCATCTATCCATCCATCCATCCATCCAGTGATTCATCCAGTCATTCATCCATCCATCCATCCATCCATCCATCCATCCATCCAACCAACCATCCATCCATTCATCCATCCATCCAGTCATTCATCCATCCATCCACCCATCCATCCATCCACCCACCCACCCATCCATCCATCCACCCACCCACCCATTCATCCATCCATCCTCCCATCCATCCATCCATCCATCCATCCATCCATCCATCCATCCATCCAACCAACCATCCATCCATTCATCCATCCATCCACCCATCCATCCATCCACCCACCCATCCATCCATCCATCCATCCACCCACCCACCCTTTCATCCATCCATCCTCCCATCCACCCATCCACCCATCCACCCACCCACCCACCTGTCCACCCATCCATCCGTCCATCCATCCATCCATCCATTCTACTCTCACTCTCCTTACATGGCAATATGATATTATTACAAGCTAGTTGCCAGGTTGCAAAGTGGGTAATACACAAATTTAAGAACATTTGTAACCTAACATCAACAAACATCCCTGAGGCAGAGAGGGTTGTTTCAATACTGCATTTATTCAAAAGCACATAAATACGTTACACAGTACATAATATACACACTACAAAACTTGACTTGAATAATAAAACATGCTACTAAGAAGGAAAGATGGCTCCTGAAGGATCCGTGCCCACCTGAGTCAGAGGCCCTCGTTCACATCGCAGAAGCATGGTGGCAGGCAGTCGAAGTCGGTGAACAAGGGGCACTCCTCGCAGAACTGGAGGTTGGGGTAGTAGCCGGTGGTGATGGACGGGGCCGCGGTGATCTTGTCCTGGGTGACCACGGATGGATGATTTTTTAAGGCCAAACAAAAAGGTGGTTTTGAAACTCTTAAGAAAAGAGACACACAGGAGGGATTAGAACCCCCTCAGCCCGCCTGTGCCCGCGGTCAGGGTGCCGGGGGTCTGGGGCGGCCCAGCCTGAGAGGAAAGCTCTGCCCTGGCCCAGGCTCCTGGGTCACGTGCTCTCCAAGACGCCAGAGATGCCAGGCCAGACCCAGCACAAAGGGAGAGGGGCTGCCAGTGCGGCTCCCCAGCGGCTGAGGCCCCAACTGCGGAGCCCGGGTCGGGGGCAGGTGCCCGTCAGCTGCCCCGGGTTTTGGATTGACCTAGTGCACAGCCTCCCTCCCTAGAACAGGAGCTCCACGGCTTCTGCCAGCGAACCTCCCACATTTGAAGGGTCCTCTCCCCACAACTGAATGACCTGCCTGAGCTCCCCTCCTCCTCTGGTGTCCCCGGACCTTCACCAGCTCGGATCCCCACGCCTACAGGCACCTCCCTGTCCCCAAGGCCATGGGCGATGGAGGAGGGAACCCGGGAGCTCTGAGCTCGGGCTGGGGAGACCGACCGAGCCCGCCTCTGGGCGAACCGAGGCAGAGGCTCCCACGCGCCTGCCCCGCGGTCCTCAGCTGCAGAGTCCGGGACACGGGCAGGGCCGGCCAGGGTGTGAGTCCCCGTGGAGGGGCAGCTCCCCGAGGCCCGGGCAGCGGACAGCACTGACCCAGAGCCGCCCGCCCGCTGGGAACCTCACTGTGAGCTCACAGCCCGGCCCCGAGGGGAAGGGCCAGGATTCCATGCTCACCTGCCTCTGCCTTTTCCCAGCTGCCCTGTTCCTGACCCCGGGGGGTGGCCCAGGGCAGGGCGTGCCCTGCTCCAGCTCAGCCCAGGGGCCCGTGCGAGGGGGGTGGCCACTCTTACCATGTCACTTACTTCAATGCCTTGGCCACTTTGAAGTAAAGACAGCTGATGACACCTATCAGCGCGAGCAGGGCCACCAGGATGCCGGCGCCAATGCTGATCATGGCTATGGAGAGGACTTCAGAAGTTTTGCCTGGAGGAGACGTGCAGGTGGCAGTGAACAGGGCCCCCTCCCCACCCAGCTGGCAGCAGCCTCTATGTGCTCCTCCCGGGAAGAAGAATGAACCCCCAAATCACAGAGCCTTCTGCGGGGAAAACAGGGTGCGTGGCCCGGGGAGGCCTAGGAGGCTGACCGGGCAAGAGAGGGAGCTGAGGGCACATTATTAATGCGACGAACGAAGTGCAACACCCAAGAAAAGGAAGGACGGAGGGTGGGCGGGAAGGCCTTCCCCGGCCTCTCGCAGCGGGAGCCGAAGCTGAGGAACTGCCTGCAGGTGGCTTCACCCCACACCTGCGCCCCTACAGCGTGGCCACTGTCAGAGTGACGAGCCCCCACTGCACACGAAACCTAAACATCTCCTGTGGGAAGGACTCGGAGAGTAACTTCTTCAAACTGTGACGTTGGACCAGACGGAGAACACACAGTCCCTTCTGTGATCCGTGTTTTAGGAAAGAGGTTTCCCCTTGTCCCTCCCGGGAAGCCACTTTGTCTGGAATGAGCCTCGGACTCCCTGAAACCAGGCACAGGTGAGCAGAGAGAGCAGCCACCCCGCGGATACGTACTGTCCAGGTCGCCACTGCAGGATGGAAGCCAGCAGGAAAGAAAACACACAATTAAAACAAACTTCCGGGAGCAGCACATCTTATCAGGCATTCCTCACGCCAGGAAATTCTGTCCTTGGGGGAGCGGCTAAGGTGTCCGTTTGGAGAGCTCGCGGCCCCTCCGGAGCAGCAGAATGGACAGCCACTGGCCAGCTTGGCGTCTGTGCTCATTGGGCCGAGCTGTGTGACATCAACACTGGACGGCAGCCTCGCCCCGCAGTTCTGAATTCCGCTGCGCTCAGGAGCGCGGGAGCACCCCTGGCGACCTGATCATCGTAGGTCATTCCATCTCCCCTTCTCGGGCTCCGGGTCCCTCGGAGACCCTTTTAAGGTTTGACTGTTGACCAAAAGCAAATTTATGTTCATAATGAAATACAAGAACAGAAATGTGGAGAGACTAGTAGCTAAACGTTCAGGGAGGAAGGCTGGTCGGGCTCTGTGTTTGAGCCACACAACGAAATCATACATAATTAGAGCCACTTGCCAGGATTCCAGATAGGTTCCTGCTTCAGAGGACTACTTTATGGTTAAGACAAACAGATTTCAAAAAGCAATTTGAAGAAGATACCTGTTCTAAAGCAGGTTTCTATGGTCTCAAGGTCCCCACACTCAGCCAAGCTGGTTTAATTAAATGAGGGGATTATTTTAATTTCAGAGATTCTTCCCTGCTGGTCTGGCCAAACCCTGAGTGAGGCCATGAAAAGCAGAGGAGATGTCAACAAAAACAGTGGCGTCAGCCCTGCTGGTGTGGCTCAGTGGTTGAGTGTCAACCTATGAACCGGGAGGTCACAGTTCGATTCCCAGTCAGGGCATGTGCCCAGGCTGTGGGCTGACAAGCAAGAACGTGAATTTGATTCCGTAGGTAAATCCTCGGTGCCCACTACGCACGAGGCGCGGCGAGTGCCCGGTCAGGACCTCGGTGGGGTGCGGCCTGTACTGCTGTGAATGAGGCCCAGGGGAGCTCCCTCCTCTGGAGTCGCTAACAATGGACAAGTCACGAGCTTCCGTTTCCTCACATCCTATCTAATAAGGAGGGGATATGCTAATTGACACCCATGCTGTTGCAAAGAAGGCAGCGCCCACAGCCAATAAGGAGGGAATATGCTAATTGACTGCCACGCCCTCAAAGATGGCAGCACCCAGTCCCCTCAGCACCCCAGCAGCCCAGGGCCTCCCGAGGCACAGGTAACCAGGGCCAGCCAAGGCTTGCACTGCCAGCAGTGGCAGCAGCAGAGGTGTGATGGGGCGTCGCCTTCCCCTGATCGCAGGGTCGCCTCCCGCCCCTGAAGGCTCCCAGACTGTGAGAGGGGGCAGGCCGGGCTGAGGGATGCCCCTCCAGTGCATGAATTTTCGCGCACCGGGCCTCTAGTAAATCCACACATGGCTGGTGTTGACATTTCCCTGGAGGCCACAGCACTAGAGTAGGTTTGAGTGAGGGAGACTGAGTTCAGGTTTGTCGGCCCTTGTGGTTTCCCCCCCAAACCACCTGGGAAATGTGTTCTTGGTGGCATCTGGAGGGACCTCGTCAGTGTGAGCAGAAGACCGAGCCACCCAATCCCTGGCCCTTTGTGCCACAGCCAGAGAAGAGGGCAAAGGGTGGGGCTGTGGCAGATCAGAGGAAGGCCCGAACCACACTCCACTCTTCCCATCCGGAACCTCGAGGGGCCCCTGGGTGAAGCGTGGGCAGGTGGAGGCCAAGCCAGGAGGGGTGCTTTATGCCGCATCCATTTACAGCTAGGGTTCAGGAACTGAAGAAGGGGCTGCACACAAATGAAAACACTAGACAAGAAGCATGAATTTAGAAGGCACGGGGGGCCAGGTGGAAACTTCCCTCTAGTGGAGAAGCTCTCTGACTTCTGGGTCCCGTCTGCTTTTATGCACTTGAATACACACTTGTCCTTCAGGAATGCATACAGGCGTATCAAAGGTAAAGTTAGGTAAACAGTAAAAGGATTATCAGGTTTACATAAAACATACGTCTATTTTAAGCCGAAGACAACTATGATTATATACAAAAACACACTTTTACTTCCCCACAAAGTTTTTGATGTCCTTTTACTATGTGTACTCATTATGCTTTATAGTTACTTTTGTCATTTAACATCTCTACTAGAATGAGATTTATCCACCATCATTATAGGGCTCTGTGCTTGTCCGTCGATTTACCTTTAGGAGCAAGTGTTAACGTTCCACATGCTTTTGTCTTGCTGGTTAGCGTGCTCTCCTTTCCACTTGGGTAATTCTGGAGCATTTCTTATCAAGCAGGTCCAGCAGTGATGAACGCTCCCCTGTTGTGTGAAAGTCCCTCTCTCCTTTGTATTTCCCGGACAGAGTATGCTGGAGGCTAATTCCGGAGGGTCATAATTATGCAAGAAGTTCATCGAAAGGTTGATGAACCCTGGGGCACCAGCAGGACTGAAGATCTGTATATTACCTGCTGCTGGAACAGCGAAGGCAGTTCCCCCAACCTGATAATCTTTTACTGTTTTCCAAACCTTACCTTCGATATGTGTATCTGCTTTGCTATGGGGCAAACTGTGTTAATAAAAAGCTAGGGGTCCAGAGATTCGGGGAGCTTAGTCACTAGAACTAAGCTTCCGTCTAGCACCCCAAAATGCCTTCCAAATTCATAGTTCTTCTCTGGCCTCTTCATTCATTTATGCACAGCCCTTTTGCAGATTTCCTTGACGCTTGTAGATGCGGAAACCCCGGCAAGAGTATTCTCGGTTATCAGGGTTTCCCTCGGTGCTGAATACACCACCCCACCCCTGTGCCCCGTCACTGGGGAAGCACCCTCGGCTTCCTAATCTGCCACCTTGCTCCACACTATGCGTTTTCACTTGCTTATGAGTATCTTCCATGAAGCAAAAGGTTTTCATTCGGGTAAGTTCCAAGTTACCACATTTTTCTCTCATGGATTATCTTTTTGGTGTTATATCAGAAATGTCATTGCCAAACCCAAGGTCACACAAATTCCCTATTTTCTTCTCTATGTCTTATAGTTTCATGTTTTACATTTAGATCTATACTTCATGTTCCTTTAGTGTTTGTATAAAGCATAAGGTATATGCTGACTTCTTTTTGTTTAAAAAGTTCCCCTCTATTCCTAGTTTGCTAAGGTATCTTATCTTGAATGGATATAAATTTTTGTCAACTTTGGGTGGTGAATACACTATATAATTTACAGATGATGTACTATAGGTCTGAAACCTATATAATTTTATTAAACAACTCCCCCCAATAAATTCAATATAACAAAAATAAAAGATGTCAACAAGAGATTTTTTCATAATTTCATATTTATCGAAAAGTACATTAGAAATCATCCTGTATAAAAAAAGGCGAATATACAAATCGCCCGAACAGTGGAATGGCTGGTTGCTATGATGCGCACTGACCACCAGGGGGCAGACGCTCAATGCAGGAGCTGCTCCCTGGTGGTCAGTGCGCTCCCATAGGGGGAGCGCTGCTCAGCCAGAAGCCCTAAGCTGGGCTCAGGGCTGCTGAGTGCAGTGGCGGTGGCAGGAGCCTCTCCCACCTCCGCAGCAGCACTAAGGGTGTCTGACTGCCCCTAAGCCGTCAGTTGGACATCCCCCAAGGGCTCCTGGACTGCGAGAGGGTGCAGGCAGGGCTGAAAGAACCGCCCCACCCAAGTGCACGAATTTCATGCACCAGGCCTCTAGTGTAAAGCAAGTGAAGAAATACTGCAATTACAAAAAACTAAAACTATGCCTTAACTGAAATACTATTTCACTAAAATAAATATACACCATGAAGATATCTGCACCCAGGATTCCCCGTTACACACCCCCATGCTGGGCACAGAAGCATGTTGGGAGGTAACTGAGTTTGGCAGGGATGGCATCCTCTTCAGCCAGGGGCAGGGCTCAGGGGCTGAGCGTTGCCCTAGGAACGGGAGGTCACAGCTGGATTGGGGTCAGGGCACAGGGCCGGGTTGCGGGCTCCATCCCGGGTGTAGGGTGTTCAGGTGGCAGCCCACGGATGATTCTCTCTCATCCTTGATGTTTCTCTCCTTCTCCCTCTCCCTTCCTCTCTGGAATCAATAAAAAGCAATCTTCTGTATTATAAAACGCCTGTGGCCCTAACGCCCTAATGACCAAAGACCGGCCGGGTGGGCAGGGCTGTGAGCAGCACCAAGCGGTGGGCGGGCAGGGGCACTTCCGGCTGGGCTTCTGGTATATATATAACCCTCTTCCCTGCCCTGGATGGACTAGCGCCCTAGGCCCTCCCCGCTCTTGGAAATGACCGTAACCCTCCTCCCTGCATCTCTTCTCCAGGCGCGCGTTCTCGCCGGAGACCGAGGCCCATTCCTGCCGCTCTTGGAGGAGCCGGGGAAGCGACCCCTCTGGCTGGGCGCCGCCTGCGCCTGCGGTCACGGTTGTGGACTCGCCTGGCTGCGCTGTCCGCCCTCTGCCAGGAGGAGAGGCGTTAGCTGGCCCGGCAGGAGGGGGGGCGGGGGCGCAGGCAGGGAGGCCCCAGTCTGAGCCTCCGCACAGGAACCGCCAGGCAGGACTCGGGGTGTGGACGTGGGAGCGTGGGGAGCAGCGGGCCTGCAGCAGCCAGGAGAGGAGCATGGGGCAGGGATCGGGGTGCACAGGCCTCTCCGGTGGCCGCACGGGCAGCCAAGAAGCAAGCTCGCAGCCACACGGACCCTGGAACACAGGCTTCCGCAGCCCCTGCGGGGCGTCCCCGGAGAGTCGGACCTGCGTTCCCGCTTCGCTTCAATCCTCTGGTCGCGATGCTCCTTCTCCCACGTCATGAGACCCGACCCGGGGAACCTTGGCAGCGAGCCCGCCGGTCATCACTGTGCCTCCGCTCCGGCCTCGGCCCGGCTCCCCTCCCCCGGAAGGCGCGCGGGCAGCGGAGGGAGAGGGACGGAAAAGCGCCCCACGCCCGCCTCCCACCACCCCCACGCCCGTCCCCCGTCCCCACTCCGCACAGCCTCCCCGGACGCCCGACCGCCGGGGGCTTGCAGGAGTCCTTCGACCCGACGACGCTCCACCTCCCGAACTTTCCACGTCCATGGACTCGCATTGACCAACCCTCCCTGTGCGCCTGCACGGCCAACCACCTGCGGCCTTTTTCCCGGGAAACCTCGACAAACCCACCTGCTTCCCGCCCGCCGCGCCCCGCGCCTGCGCATAGCGCCCCCGGGAGACGAGGAGCAGTCGGTGCGCATGCGCCGCCCTGGAGGTCTGGGACAAGTTTTCAATCCCTCTCCGATTCCGGCCGAGAAGCGCATGCGCTGCCACAGATTAGGTTCTCTCCCTGCAGGAGCCTCAGACCCCACCTGGACCAGGCGGAAGTTGCA